CCTTCTTTAATGTGTGAACCGATTGAGGTTACTTCACAAACAAGCGATTGCAAGCCCACCATTCTTTAATGTGCGGTAATAAAATTATATATATATATATATATATATATATATATATATATATTAAGGAAAAGTGCAAAAAACACCGTCGCTATACATGGGATGTGTAAGAAACCCCCTCTTATTTCAATTTGTGTAAATAAAGACATTATGTCAATTTAGCAATTGAAGTGTCTAAAATACCCCCATAAAAAGAATAATAAATAAATAAAACGTTTTCTCTTCTCTATTTTTCTTCTGTTTCATATTTTTATGATCTAGGGACATTTTTTTCCATTAAATCTTATATAAGCCTCAATTTACTCTCTCTATGACATATATATATATATATACACACATACACCATTAGTCTTCTCTGCGACTCTCTCTCTCTCTCTTGTCCAAGTATTGTTGTAACCTCCCCCATCACTTCCACAACGGCTGCAAACCACCGCCCAACTCTACCCCACTGCCCATTGTTACACATTTGTAACCCAACCACCTCTGTTACACCTTATTGACTCCATATGTTATACAAATACAAGGCTTCCTTTGGATGGGAAGATTTAGGAGGATTTTGAAAGAAAATAAAGGAAAGGATAAGGAGTGCTATGTTTGGATGGGAGGGTTTGAAGATAAAAGAAAGGATTTGGACGGATTTTGAGGGATAGTTATCCCTCCAAATATTAGAAGATTTGGAAAGAAAGGAAAGTAAGTTTAGTGGCATTTTCAATATACCAAAACTAGCCTTCAAAATTAGATATAAAAATTTGTTATTCCTTGTAAGTCCTTATAACATTAGGGTTCATCCAATGGTTTGGTCTCAGCACACAGATATAGAAACTTCCGATTGGTTTGGTTTCAGCACACATAGATATAGAAACTTCCAATCGGTTTGGTCTTTCAAGTTTATGGGAATTGATGGATGCCACTGCTCAAACTTTGGTCACTAAAAATTCACCGGCAAACTTTCATTTGTTGGAGTGAAGATGAAGATATATACAAATATATACATACATATATATGTATATATATTTATATGTGTGCGCGCACTGAGTGTATCATGTTCGGGGATAAGAGATTCGCTAGGAGAGTGAGACTGGAAACCGACAAGATGAGGAAGAGATGGAGAATTGTTATAACGAGAACATCAGAGAAAGAGACTGGGGAAGAGGAAGGGATAAGACCAAAATCTTATCATGTTTCATCCCTGGTTTGGTTATAAGAATAAGGAATCATATTAGGGGGTTGTGTATGTATATGGTATAATTTATATAGAATATTTGTTAATGAAATTTTTAATTAAATAAGCTATAAAAAAACCAAGAAACACAAAGAAAATGGAGTCAAAGAAATCACACAAATATAAAAAGATAGGATGATAATTTTGTTATTATCCTTTCTTTTCTTTTTTCTCCTTCCTATCCAAACAAAAATCCTATAATTTTCTTTCTTTTTTCTCCTTTCTATCCAAACATGAATATAAAGTATTGTTATATTTTCCTTTCTTTTCTTTTTCCTTCTCTTCGCTCATAACTAATATTATTTTTTTTTTTTATTGTGTATCCAAACGAAGTTAAAATATTATAATATATATATATATATATATATATATATATTTATCGCAGATCTCATCTACATGTTCCGTCACCACCGCCACTACCCATCTGTTTCTCTAACATCCAAATACCCATCAATATCAATTAATTAATTAACAGACCAAAAAAATAAGAAGAAAGAAAATAGAAAATGAATCAGAAGCCAAAAAACTCTTTCCCTAGCTTCTGTGTGAACCGAAGCCGATCCGTAGTTCCAATCTTGGCCCCATTATTAATTTTCCATGTCAATTTGCAATGCCAATGGTGTTCACACGGTAAACCCAATTCTTTATAAAACTTCTTATTTAATAATTCTTCTCAAAATTCCTCGTCAAATTCTCAAACTTGGATTGGAGTGCTGTTGTAGAGAGAGAGAGTGTGGAGAGATACAGAGAGAGAAATACAATGTGTGTATATATATAAATATATATATATATAATTGTTGCTTAGAAGGGTATTTTAGGATTTTTATAATAAAAAAATTAGTCAAAATTGATGATTCGGGGAAATTTGTTGGAAAGATGAATAATAGAGGAACTTATATGCACAGGAGTTTCTTGCACATTCTCTATATGGTGAGGGTTTTTTTTTTTTTTTTTGCACTTAATCCTATTTATTATACATAAATTTTTAATTTTTACTTAAATAAGAATTTATAAATTTTTAGTTTAACTCGATTTTTAAAAATTGAGTAAAAAACAGACCCAATTAAATTAGGTCCACCAAAAGCTTGTACTTTTTCCAAAAGCCTAAACGTCCATGTAACACTTTTTCTTTTTTTCCCGGAAAATTTATGAATGTAAGCACATTAATTTGGCAGGAATTCACCTTTGTTTTTAAATTTTATTTTATGAATGCCAAGTGATAGATTTCTGCTGAAACGTACATGTTTCCCTTTAGATTGATACATATGCTTATTCAACAGAACACTATATACATATATATATATATATATATATATATATATATATAGTACATTCCCTCCCTAATTCCATTTTCTGTCACAGCAGATGGAACCTACATCGATTTAGATTTCTTCTCTTCAATATGGATTGGCAGCCCCTTGTTGAAAACTGGCAATGGATCTCTGCTGAAGGAATCATCTTTGCATGAGAGCTTCCATGTGAATTTGGTAACCAAGTGATCAGAGTTTCCATTCTTGCAAACTCATATCCAGGACAGTTCCTGGCGCCTCCTCCAAATGCCACAAAACTGTTAGGACGGGGAGTTCCTTGTTTCTCCGAGCGCATTGGATCGAACTTTTCTGGTTCTGGGAAGATATTTTCATCCGTATGTCATATGAGTCATGCTTCAGACCAAACCACCTAATTATTATAATCCACAAATGCATGTCAGTCAGTCCTATATATATAGATCATATATATATATATATATATATATATATATATATATATATATATGTATGTATGTATAATGGCACATATATTATAGTAGTACTGATGATTAAAAGCTAACTGCAATAATATTGAAGATTTTTCACATACTTGCCACCCTTTTGGAATTATATAACCTCCTTATTCAACATCTTTGAGAGCCCTCCTGAAGATAAAAAATATAAGGAGGGGTCACTCTTAGTGTCTCCGTTGCTGCTCTCCATGTGTACTTCATGTTCGTAAGGTCTTCTCCATATCTTCAGAAGATTTCAAATCTCACCACAAAGAAACCTTCCTTTTGATATGTTAATTGGAAATCATTTGTCCACGTCTTTTGTATGAATCCTTTGAAGAATGGATGGTAGGGCCTAACATACCCAATTATCGAGTTCGACCAATATTCAGCATTGTCTGCAATATCTTCAACTTCTATGTAAATCTTGGGCTGGTTTTTGCTTATAGCGTGGAAATTCAAATTGATGAAAGATGTCTATGGTGGTTTTTTCTAGCTAAGAGACTCCGCCAAGACTGCCGTGGAGGAGTTCTCTATTGGGGATTGGAAAAGGAAGCCAAGAGCCTCCCATCTGCCTCTCAAAGAGTGAGCTTTGTGTGCGCCCAAACCCCACATATAAGGTCGTTTGGATTTGGAATGGAATAGAGCGACACACAAGCAAAAAAGTGATAGTGATAACGAGAGCAAGAGTTATGGGTTGGGTAACTTGGGTCATGCATTTTATTATTCTTTTATTCTCTCTGACGGGCTTATTTTCACTTTGGGTGTTTCCATTGTATTATCCCTTCTTTAATGCGCGAACCGGTTTGAGGTCACTTCACACACAAAGCTATTGCTAGCCCACCATTCTTTAATGTGCCGGAATTAAAATAATAATATATATTTATTATACATAAATTTTTAATTTTTACTTAAATAAGAATTTATAATTTTTTTGTTTAACTCAATTTTTAAAAATTGAGTAAAAAACAGACCCAATTAAATTAGGTCCACCAAAAGCTCATACTTCTTTGAGTTTTATTGACATCTTTTTAAGTTTTGTCAAATATCAATTTTAAATATCTTTCAAAAATAATTATTACTTAGATTCATTACGATTTTCGATAAATAAATAAAAAATGACAACTTTATCTTTAATTTTTTAATCACATTTATTTCAAAATATCAAATAACCTAAATGACTACTGTAGCCCTAATAATACCCACACTATTTCTCTCTCATCAATCTCTATTGGAAGTTTTAATGATAATTTAGCCTTTTTTAGTGAATATGGAACAGGGTGGCCACACTGAGCCCGGGAAGGAATGACGAAGGTGTCAAAACAGATTGGACAGCAGTCATCGGAAGGAGGTTCGTTGAGGTCTCTCGCGCTAGGGTTTGAATCGGAACCTATCTTTCTCTCTTGGTGGTTGTTTCTCTCACTAGATCCCTCCCCCAACTCGCTCTTTCTCTCTCTAACAGCTTCCGAAGCTCTCTCTCTCTCTCTCTCTCTCTCAGTAGCTGTAACGATTATTGTCGTCGTCTTCAACTAATTTCAGAACTCTCTCTATTTATAGGTGTGTTTTTGTCCCAATCCTTTTGAGATTTGGATTTGAATTTGGAATTGAATTTGAAATTAAATTAAATTAGAATACAAATAATATTATACCATATTTACCCTTATTTAAAATTACATTTTTTCCTTTATATAAGCAATTAAATAAATTTTTTATATTATACATCTATATATATATATATATATATATATATATATATATATGATCATTTTGAAAGTAAGAATAGGTATTAATGAATCGTTGATCATTTTGCAAAAGTTTTCTAGGAAAAAGAAATTATAAAAAATAAAGAACATCCTAAGAAAATTTATAATTATAAAATAATTATACTAGATTGGCAACAAAAAAATAAATAAATCTGACAGATTTCAATGTTCTCCTACCTTCGCAGCCCTTTGATCATCTCTTACAAGTCTTGAGGGTTTCTTTGCTCGCTTCATGTATTCCGTTATATATTTGCATTTTTTGGTTTTCAACAGGTTTGATCTGTTTGTAAACACCAGTTTTATTCACACACATTATTATGAACCAGAACGGATTAAAGATATACAACAACTAAAGACAGTTAATTGATTTCAATGGAAAAGTTAGGGTAAACATGTCATTTGAATACTTAGAGAAATAATTTAGTTAATCAAACTAAAGTCAAATGAGAATAAATATGTCATTTGAATCATTAAATAAACAATTTAATAAGTCAAACCAAAGTCAAAATGTAAAAATGCAAAGACACATGTAAAAAATGACCAGAAGATACATTTCCAAGCCTTTTAGATTATAAATAATCTGAGAAAGAATAAATACATAATCACCTAGAGTTGTAACTCTCCATATTAGAAGACATGGGATTAGGATTATTATTATTTTTTTTAATAATTAAAGAATCACAAGTTTAACGGTTGCAGGTAATCTTATTTTCAGCATTTGTTTTTAAATTATTTTAAAAAAATTGTAGGTACCAAAGCATAAAAATAATCTATTCTAATTTATTTCAACAAAATAATAATTATAACAAAAAACGTGAAAGCCGAAGACTTTTCACTTAGGAAAAGTAAATCAGAGGAGGAGAGAGAAGGTGGTAGCTCCATGGGCATCCAAGGCTACTTCAGGTCGTGCAAGTAATCTTATTTTCAGCTGCTTGGCACGCTCTTTAGCAGCTTCCATCTCGGCTTCCCGTGAAAATTCGGAGGGTAACACAAGACGCGTATCAATAATTATCTTCTCCAGTAACGCAGCAATCTCAAGTATGTGCAAAACAAGTTCAACTTCGCTTCCGCTACTCCCATCAAACCCACACAATTCCACCACCTTAAGGCATTGACGATGACATTTAGTCACCTCTTTTACAGCATATAAATATGTTCTTTCATTAACTTCCCTTATTATCTGCCAACACAACAAGAGAAGACATTATTTGCAGACAAAGTTAAGAATATATAGCAAACTCTTAGACCACTACAAATTTGTAATTTCCAGTACCTCTCTATCAACCGGTCCAATATGCATCTGCCATAGAGGAAGATAGTTAGATAAAATTAATAAGAATAAACAGAACAATGAATTAGAAGCTAGAACAACAATTGGTTAACGCAAGAAGATTTAGTAAAAAAGTAAATTGCACTTTCTTCTGCACAGGATGTGAAAGGAGCCAGTTGTATCTAATAAAAATAAGAAATCTTCCTTTTCACGATAATTTTCTAAGAAAATCAACAAGTGACCTTGTATTTACATTCCAATGATGATTCAAGTGCTCATCTGTCCCCCACAATGACACAGGTTCGAGTCCTGAAATCAACCTATTTAGCAATGGAGTAAGGCAGCTAACCATTCACCTTTTTCAGGAGAAGGTATTGGGTGCACACGGCACACCGTGTACAAGGCTCATCCGAACCGTACGTGTTGTGCACACACAGGCACATGTTGTGCATCCGAGCCGGTGCACCGTGCACCCGACGCACCCAATGGTATTACTCTTTCAGACTCTGCTAAATGCAGGGGTCTTGCATACTAGGAAAGACTTTTATTTTTTTCCAATGGTGATTCAAGTAATGCAACCGGGTTATGTAACAACCTATTAGAGCAACTGACTATTAGAGTAACTCAGTTACATAATGGTCATCAATATTAGTTAAACATCAGGAATCATTCACAAGAGAAATCCAAATCACGATTTGGTTATTTTCAGTAAGGCTGCAGAAACTGTCCCCAGTTGCTTTAACTGGCATTGGAGGCTACAAAACACTCAAATAATAGCCACTCACAGAACATAATAGTAGATTAGTAGCATAAGTTGTTTATTAAAAAAAAATTAATAGCAACAATAATGGTAATGAAATCCTTGCTATGTCAGAAGCTCTCTTATCAAATCTTATTCACATTCTAATTCAATCTCTATTCAATGTCAATTATGAAAACGAGATTCACTTAATGCCGGGGAAGGATTCAAGTGAACAGTTATCCATACAAATTTACTTCCAGCAGAACAACGAGATCAAACATGCTTGAGGCTGTCACAAAATTTAAACGATGGAGCTAATTCCTCCATAAATGACCACAAAGTGTATCAGTCATGAATTTTTTGGAAAAAATAAAATAAAAAGCACAAAGAGAATATCTTGATGTCCTTAGATTAACAACTTATTCTATTTTTTTTTTTTGGTTTAAGTAATTTTTCATTAAAAACACTCAAAAGGAGAGCGCACCCAAGCGAACATGTGCCAAACAATAAGCTCCAAGTCAAAATAATCCCCTATACCCTTAAACTATCCACAAATGCTACAAAATCCTCTACAATACCTCCCATTAACCCAACAAACAACAAAACGAAGAATGGAAGATTTTAATACCTCTATAGTAGATTAATTCTAGTCAAAGAGTCCCCTATTTCTTTCATACCACAAGCCCCACAAAATACAAAGTGGAATCACTCTCATGTATCCCAGGCTAGCAACACAACTATACACCCGTTCCAAGCCTCAAGCATGCTCAACATGGACCTTGGCAAGCTTCGAGCATGCTCAATATCCACACATCCCTAGACACCGAAAATGTAAGAGAAGCTGCTCAATCAACTCCTCATCCCTCTTGCACATGCAACACCAATTTACCAAGATTTGAAGCCTCTTTCTTGTCGCTTGTCAAGATCCTCCCCAAAACAACCGTCCATCCAAAAAAAGCAACCTTGAGGGAACCTTGGTTCACCAAACTTCCCTCCTAGGAATTGTAGACTCCCAAATATTTGAAAATCTCTGGTAAAAATAGCATATCTCGAACCTCCCTTGCCTAGAATCGAGCCAAACACATACAAACTGCACAACATCCCAAGTCGTCCTTCTGCTATCAAGGTGATAACAAACAGCTACCAAGACATGACCATATAAAGATATCCTGAACAACCTCAGGAAAATACTTGCTATTGGCCTATCCCCACCCCACATCATGGATCAGACCAAAACTCGCCCACCCCCCCCCCCCCCCTCCCCCCCAAAAAAAAAAAAAAAAAAAATCCCAAGAAAAAAGTTAGAGGCTTATGTTTGCTGTCTTCAACTTCATAGCAAAAATTTAATCTCTTTTAATAACATACAATGATATCCAACCATAAAATGAGTCCATTTATAGATTTTATCACTGTAAAAACTTTACAGGACTACTTATCCCAAAAAAACCAAAGAAGTTACAGAACGGTACAAACCCAACACTAGAAGTAATACAATGGCATACAGTAGCTCATCACCGTTATCCTTTGTGCAACGGTAAAAGGCCAAGCTGTTAGCATGTGCCCACTGTTTTAAGGCTAAGAATAACAACTTTTTTTATTAATGTGAATGGTTAGATTTGCATCCAATCTGCCTTTCCATCTCCTTACATTGATGGCTAAGCAATAGCCTTTAACATTCTAAAACCATTGCGACTTTACAAGCAAGACAATAAAACAATGTCTATTTACATAGACCCTAAACTTGTATAAGTTCCATTTTATTTAAGTGCAAATAGTTCATGCATATAGAGATTTTTGCTTCTTGCGTGGTCCAATTTGTCAAAATCCAATGACCATCCAAATGTTACATTTGTGTATAGACGATAAAGAAAGAGTAAGGCGGGAATCCACGTTCATTTTGTCATTAAATTCGTATTGAAAGCTAGCTCACTATAACTTATGAATCCAATCACATTATACCTTTAAGCATTAGGTATAACATAATTTTATTTAGGCTGGTAACAATGTATTGATACTATTCACATTCTAGCAGCATATATATATATATATATATATATATACACACATTTGGCAAGGCACATTCTATTAGCATGTTGTAAGACTCCAACTTATATTCATTTATAATCGCATATTAATAACATGAAAACACATAGCAGCTAACATTAAACAAGAAAAGAGTGGCTAGGATCAATGGATCTCTTTATAAGATAATGTTTGCATCTTGATGATATATATTCTCTCTTTTCTTTTCCTTAATTTCCTTTGCATAATTGAGGACAATTTACGATGTTTGCCTCTTTCTTTCCAATTCCTATATTTCTCAGCCTCTTATATCCCATTCCACTCTCTCTGTCTACTTTACCCTAACGCTTAACACACAGCTGTGGTAAATTCAGAAGGCCTCCATTAAAGATTTTACTTAGGTTACTCAAATTGTATAAGCACAAAGCTACAATGCCACAAACCCACAAAGTTCTCAAAATTTAGGGTGTGATTGGAATGGCATTTTTTATGAAAGCATTATTCAATTGTTATCTACGTCATCTTCAACTCGTTCTTTAAATTTAATTTGGGTCAAAAGAAATTCAGTAAGTTATCAAGTTCAATATGTTTCCTCTTTTAAGTTGAAGATGGGAATTTATTTGCAGAAGCGAAAGTGGCAGGCTAATGGTTCCTTTCACCTCCTCAGCCACTTCAATAAAAATCTTTTATTCTATCATATATGTCTTTCTCTGCTTACACCTCTCCCAATCTTCTTGTCTCTTTGCATTTGAAGTCTATTCAAATCATACATGTACCTTTTATAAATAAAATAATAATAATCAATACTAATACAAATTATGAAAAAAAAATTAAAAAATCAATACTAATACTTCCATCAGCAAACATAACTTAAATTACAAAGAAAGGATACTTACCCGAACAAAAAACTAAGACAAATTAGGAGATGCCTCAATCACAGAAGTGAAACTAAGAAGGCAGTCACCAACATCTCCTAGAAAGAAAAATTCCACTTGCTTGAGATTACCAAGATCACGGCAATACTTGGGGAACCGCTGTATTTCCTAACAAAAAGAAAGCACAAGTTGATAATGATGTTACAACAACCATAACCAAAAAAGAAAAGAAAAGCATACAATCACGCAATGATTGTGTATTCTAACCTTTAAATATTTTAACTCGAGCTTTTCTATTTGAGGAAGAGAGCTGGAATGCTTGCAACATCTAGAAACAAAGGGGGGACAAAATTCTCCCCCAATTGATAGCTCAGAGAGTAGAGGAACATTCTTAAAATGCACACCTGTTTCTCGTCCCTTATAGGCGAATGAAACAAAATTTATTGCAGAAATTTCCAGATTTTCCAAAGACAAGCATTGAGATATCTCTAAGCATTTCAATTTGAGTGACGGGCCAGCAATTTATAGATTCACTAGACATTTTGTACCCACAATGCCTAATTGTTCAAGAAACTGACAGTTGAATAGGAAATTCTCAAGTATATCCTCCGTGATATCAACACCAACCAATCGAAGAGCTGTCAGGGAACAAAAGCCAGCTGCAAAACCAATACTCCGTGACACATGATGACTGTGTGAAGTCCTAAATAAGATTTTGAAGTTTTCCATGCTTGAAAATTTGTAAAATGTACGCCACTAGCCGGGAATAGTGTAACCCAACACATTCAATTCAAACCTTTGAGCACCCTTTTCCATAGCAAACTTAATCCAATCATTGATATCGCGAGGGTATTGGTCACAGAAATCAAAAGAAATCCTCATTTCATCTATACAGGTGCCAAGATGCAATTTCAAGATTTCATTAACCCAATTTGTATATGTAGTACGCTTTTCTTCATGTTCAGAACATGAAAAAGCTCTCTCTGTAGGAGCTCCTAGTAACGTCTTTAAATCGAAGTTGAAACTACCAGTTGTATGTCTCCATAAATATCTCCATCTGCGTGAGAGAATACTAGAGCATGCAGCTTCCTTAAGCATCAAAAGAGACAGGATGGCAATAAGGATCTCGTCTGGCAATCCACTAATTCCATCCTTCCTATGCTGCTCTTTTGTCTGAAGTGAAAATCCAAATAATCATAAACACAAGAAAAAGAAACATATTCAACAAAAGTAATGAAAACCACTACTCTACTAAAGTATTTAAGGACCACCATACATACATTCGGAGAACAATGAGTATTTATTCATGAACATTAATGTATTTGATGAATCAAATTTTGGTTTGTCAAATGCACCCAGAACCTTTATGCGTTTGACGAGTCAAATTTTGAAGCCATTATTGGAAAGTTTGTTGTGGTTTACTTTGATGCCATTTTGATTTACAGTCTATCCAAAGATTCTCACTTGCAGCACTTAGGGAAGTATTAGAGGTTCTACGACAAGAGAAACTCAATGCTAACCTGAAAAAGTGCCATTTTATGAATAATTCCTTGGTGTTTTTGGGATACATCATCAGCGCAGAAGGAATAAAAGTAGATGACAGCAAAGTGTCAGCCATTAGAAGTGGGCAAACACCAACTACAGTTGCAGAATTTCATGGTCTTGCTACCTCTTACAGACGTTTCATCAAGAATTTCAGCACTATAATTGCAACAGTGACTGATTGTTTGAAGAAAGGCTAGTTTGAATGGACCAACAAAGCTGAAGAGAGCTTCCAGCAGATCAAAGAAAAGATATGATCAACCCCCGTCCTTGCATTACAAGATTTCGAAAATATATTTGAAGTAGAATGTGATGCTTCTGGAATTGGGATTGGAGCTGTTCTAAGTGAAAGGAGCATTCGACAGCGAGAAATTGAATGATACAAGGCGAAGATATAGCACCTATGATCAAGAGTTTTATGCCATTGTTCAAGGTTTAAGGCACTGGCAGCATTATTTGCTTCGCCGTGTCTTTTGTTCTCAGATCATGAAGCTTTGAATAAATAGCCAAAAGAAGTTGACTAAGAAGCATGCAAAGTGGGCTTCTTTCCTCCAACAGTTCACTTTTGTGTTAAGGCATAAATCTGGAGTTAGCAATGCGCTCAGCAGAGGATTATGTCTACAACCATTGAAGGATTTGAATCTTTCAAAGATTTATATCCTACTAATCCTTATTTTGGTACAGTTTGGAGTAATGACACTAATGAGCAAGATGGAACATATAAAAAATGAAAAAAACCCTATTGATGATTGAGACCAAATAATGAGTCACCGAATGCTGATGTAATTATTAAGTTTAGAGGTTAATCTGAACTCACCATCTGTTGCTGGAAAGAAGAGGTAAACCGTGCAATCTTCCTCATCTTAATCACACAGTTGTCTATACCGGCCTAGCTTATAATAATTTATGTTGCAACAAACACTGCAATCACAAAACGACAGAAGTCATGCATCAGTGTAAAAGATTGGGGAGACTTTCCGAACAACAAATCGAAACCCCGTTCTTAAGCACCCAATTCCCGTCTATACCTGATTAAAACACTAACTTGCTTCATAGATCTCCCATTACTTGCTTTCGCCTACAAATAAATACTGTGATCGACCGGCGACTGGAAAAAAACGGAGAATCTAACTCAATACAGGGACTGGGACTGCGACTGGGACTGGGACTCGGAAATTTATAATGCGCCTAGGTTAGGTTGGTAAAATAAACCGGGAGAAATTATGCAGTAGGGCCCAGGTACCATCTCATCGCCCGTAAAATATCGCTTACGTGGTACAACTATCCAATTAAAATGCGCCATTAATTCTTATTATAAAATAAAGTATAAAAGAAAGATAAATATAAGGTAAATTTATTTATTTATTTAATAAAAAAATTATTAAAATACAAAAAATCTATGTACTTTCAATAAATAGTCTATAGATATAAATTTTTAATTTTTACTCAATATATATATATATATATAAAATTTTAATTTAACTCAATTTTTTAAAGTTGAGTAAAAAGCAAACCCAATTAAATACTTCTCTTGAAAAGCCTAAACGTCCATGTAACACTTATTTTTCCCGGGAAATTTATGAATGTAAAGCACATTAATTTGGCAGGAATTCACCTTTGTTTCTAATTTTTTTTTTAATTTTATTTTATGAATGCCAAATAATAGATTTCTGCTGAAACGTACATGTTTCCCATTAGATTGATACAAATGCTTATTCAACAGAACACTAAACACACACACACACACACATATATATATAGTACATGCCCTCCCTAATTCCATTTTCTGTCAGAGCAGATGGAAACTACATGGATTTAGATTTCTTCTCTTCAATATGGATTGGTAGCCCCTTGTTGAAAACTGGCAATGGATCTCTGCTAAAGGAATCATCTTTGCATGATAGCTTCCATGTGAATTTGGTAACCAAGTGATGAACCATAGCCAGAGTTTCCATTCTTGCAAACTCATATCCAGGACAGTTCCTGGCGCCTCCTCCAAATGCCACAAAACTGTAAGGAGGGGGAGTTCCTTGTTTCTCCGAGCGCATTGGATCGAACTTTTCTGGTTCTGGGAAGATTGTTTCATCCATATGAGTCATGCTTGCAGACCAAACCACCTAATTATAATCCACAAATGCATGTCAGTCAGTCCTATGTATATAGATCATATATATATAATGGCACATATATTATAGTAGTACTGATGATTAAAAGCTAGCTGCAATAATATTGAAGATTTTTCTCATACTTGCCACCCTTTTGGAATTATATAATCTCCATATTCAACATCTTTGAGAGTCCTCCTGAAGGATAAAAATATAGGAGGGGTCACCCTTAGTGTCTCCATTGCTACTCTCCATGTGTACTTCATCTTCATAAGGTCTTCCCATCTGAGAAGCTCCCCAGAGCCTTTGCTCTTGGCAATCTCTTCTTGCTCTACAATCACAATTAGTAACATAATATATCAATTTTTTTATTTTTTATTTTTTTCTCTGCGGTGATTGAGAAAAAAATAAAGGTCAGTTTGGTTTGTAACTCTAAGACTGAAAATATAAAACTGTACAAAAAAAACTCTATTTGGTTCAGTTTTCTAAAAACTATTTAATGAAAACTCATTTGTAAAATGGTCTGTTTTCATATAATTGTCTTTTATAGTTATCTGAAAATAGTTTTCTGCTCTCTCAATTATTAAGAATTATTTTCAGAATTAAAAACCAAGTAGACCCAGATGAATTTGGATCCTCTTTTGTGCATTGGACAGTCCAGTGACCCTGTAAGGGGTATGGACCCTACAGATAGAGTAAATCGGTAATAGACAGTCCGCGGTGCATGGGAGAGGATCCGGATGGTGTTTGGATATACCTTGAAGAACAGAAGAGTAGACGGACGGGTTGTTGGCGAAAAGTCTGACCAAGAAGGTAAGTAAAATGGAGGAAGTTTCATGTCCTGCAAGCATTACAATGACGGCATTGTCCAAAATCTCCTCGTCAGACAATGCAGCTGAACCGTCTTTGTTGCGGATGCTTAGCAAGCAACTGACGAGATCTTGATGAGGGGAAGCCCCATGTTTCTCCAATTGCACCCTCTTCTCAGATATAAGATCCATAACTATGGTTTTGATTTTTGCCCTTGCCCGGAGGCTATGGTTGAAGCGTGTAAATGGCAAATTAATTGGCACAGACAGTATTCCTTCCATCATATCCTGAAACAGCCCTATAAGTGTATCTCTTCTTGCTCCTCTTTCTATACCGAATATAAGTGTGCAAATTATGTTGAAGGTCAGGGTTTTCATCAGTGGCATCACCTGTGTATTTCAATAAATGTAGTTTTGTTAATTGGAGGAAGACACATATTCAGACCAGTATTTCTACAAGATTCACTGCTAATTAAGTAGCACTTCCTTTAGTTTTCTAAAACTACTATTAAGAACTCAGAAACATACCACAATATATATATATATATATATATATATATATAACTAACATAACACTGTTTTTAAAAACTATATAAAACATCATTTTTAACTGAATTTTCATAAAATAAACAATTTTGTCAACCAAATAATTTTTTTGTGTAGTTTTCTCATCACTTCATTTCAAAACAGAAAACTGAATCAAGCTAGCTGTCCCTAAATATCACTTAGCTGATTGTGTTTTGGTTGATCTTTGGAATTCTATATAGGTATTAAATTCTAAAAACATATATAGGAAGGGCTCTTTCATATCTCAAATTAATTCCATATATATGTCATGTTATAATTTAAGTCACATAAAGCGGGAATGAGAGCCAGAGCAAATCGGAAAGCGGGAGCGTAAGAGCGGCAGAATTAAGTCATAAAAAGTGAAAATTTGAGTCAGAGTGCACTCGGATCGTAAGAGCGACACCAATTAAGAATAATTGTGTGACTTAGGTCAAAATGGTCATTGATCACCATCTTAATTAACCGTAAATTATTGCAAATTTATGTTTTTGTTGTAATTAAGTTGGGTAGTTGTTAGATGTCAATGTGGTTTTAATGTTTATAAATCTAAAGTCGCACATCATTTGCTGATTTAATTACGTGTTTATTTAGTAAACATGACATAGAGATGCGTAAACAACCATCTAATATGATGTATCCCATATTTCTAAATTATTAGAAATGTTGTAATTTTAACCATACATACCGTGACCTCCTGTTTGCCATGCCAATGCATCTCAAGGTGCTGTCCAACTTCCTCATCCATCCTCCCAACATACTGCTTCAACACTTCCGGCTTCAAAAACGACACAAGAGCTCCTCTGACTCGCCGGTGATCGTCACCGTCCAACTCCATTAAATTCTTATCACCTATGAGCCTCCTGATTGAAGTTGGCTGATGGGTGGCAAATGTGTTGCCATCACAAGTGTATATGAACTTGTTTGCAGCCTGTCCATGGAGGAAAACTGTTGGGGTCCCAAAGAGGCTGAGTTTCGAAATCGGACCGTACTTTCTTATCCTTTCTTGGAGCCATTCCTCTCCCCAATTGGCTCTCAGGGCTCGTAGGAGGCTAAGGCTCTGGCCTACTATGGGTAACCCCATAGAGCCTGGTGGGAGCTTTTTGGAAGATCTGTTATTGAGGAAGAGAAGGAGAGGGAGTAGTAGAAGTAGCAAAGTTAAATAGATTACAGATTCCATGGTTCTGTGTGTGTGTGTGTGTGTGTGACAGTGTGTGTAGAGAGAGGGAGAGGGTGTGAAGCTATATTTATAAAGAGATTTTGAGGTGGTAACTGGTAATGATTATAATTTTGTTGTCCTGTATTGTTAGCAATTATATTCACTTTGTGCACTTAGCATCTGATTGTTGATGTTGATATATAGAATTATATACTGCATGTGCAGAATTATATATGAGAAGTGCTTGGAACTTTCCATGGCTACAGAAGTTCTCCAAGATACGGCCGGCAATGGGTGGAATCTTCAATGACCTATAACAATAACGACAGACCTAGTCTTGATTTTATTAAAAAAAAAAATTGTAAATTATTATTTTAATACTGTATTTGTTATCGCAGTACTTTATTTATATATATTATTTGTTATATATGATTTAAAAAAAAATCAACACTTACAATCTCAGTTATTAAAAGAAAAAATTGTTCAAATTGTTTAATCTTTAAAATTTATTTAATTTTATATTAATAAAATTAATTAAACGAACTTGGTTTTAAACCTGGTCAAATCAGAATAGAATAATTTTATCATTACGTTAAAGTTAATTTTATTTTTAGTATTACTATCAAAATAATAATAATAATAAACAATTAAATTGATAATTTACAACTTTTTACAATTTATAATCTGATTAGCAATTTTATTGAGAAAATGATAAAGTAAAAAAATTCAAACCCTTTAACTTATGGAGTGTGTCACCATCACCCTCTCTAGTTTTAAGTATTCTAAAATAGCATCTTTGCCTTACGGCAAATTTACAAAACAAATTAGTTACATTTTTTTTTCTAATGTTAATTATTTGTACTACTAACCCGGTTTATAGTGTACCTACTTTTCAACATTTTTACTACTATCAATCCCTGTAGGGAAATAGTACTACTATTAAACTAAAATTTTAAAAATCAATTAAATAAATATAATTATTATTTTTTAAAATACAATTTTAAATATATATTCTTAAAATCATAAGAGATACTCTCACAGTATTGCATTCCAATAATTATATAACTTTAAAAATTATTAAATAAATATAATATTATTTTACAATACAATTTTTATTATATATATATTTATTAATCTTATTGTGAAGATACTATCATTCAGTCTGCATTCTTATAACAGTTATCTTGTGATAGTTTTTTTTTTTTATTCTTTATATATATATATAAAGAATATTCAACAAGAAAAATAGAGAATATAACTTCATGGGGAAGAAAGTAATTCTAGGGTTGACCAACCGCCATTCCTCTCCAATTTTAGGATATAAAGAAATTGATATTCAACTGACAATCTCTAATATCGCAACCAACTTCATCACCTCAATAGAGATCCGTTACTGATTATAAGGAAGATCTCACTCATTGAATACATTATTATTACTAACTTGATCATCGAAGGGTCCTCGCCCGGCACCCCACTGGTGCCATTCAAGGTGACGTCCATTTGTTTTGCAGGTAAACAACGTCGTTTCGGGTCGCGAGAATTTTTGCATCAACATAAGTAAAATAAATAGAGATTAGAATTTGATATGAGAAGAAAAAAAATAGAGTGGAGAGAACAATTGATAAATAAAATTATCTGTGTCAACATTCTTCTTCCTAAATAGATATTGGATGCCCCAAATAATTGATAATGCATGACAATTGACAATTGATAAACGTGCCATGTCATTAGTGTACCAATGACAATGTATTATTTTAAAAAACAAATTAGTCTACCTACTTATAAAATTATCGATAACCAGATAATATGTTATGGAGTATGTTTCATTGGATTGGTACACTTAAAACATTGGTGTACCCAATATCCACCCCTTCATCCTTATCAATTCATATTTTTGTTATGGAGGACACATCGGTAATTTCACGAAAAGGAACCATAATAATGAGATATCATGATATGTGCACACATACGCTCGTGAGCGCATCGGACCTTTGGGAAATTACCGCCACTCTCCACATTCAAATTTAAAACCACTCCCTTCCTTTCGTCTACCTTTTGGGAATTCAAATCAATCTCTCAAAACACACAATCATTTTGCTTTCAGACACCTCTGAGAACGTTGCAAGAAAACACTTTCGAAGAACACAAAATTCAGAAAAATGAGAAGAAATCGATCAGAAATGGAAGCAAAACAACAACATCAACAATGTCCTTCACCGTTGCCAAACCCTTCATCGTCACTCCTCAAAGACATCTCGAATTTCAAAACCCCCAAACGCTCCTCTCAAAACCCTAATTTCCACTCTCCATGCCCCCAATTCTTCACCGCTTCAAAGGAAACCCCAGCCCCAGCCCCACCTTCCTCCTTCCGACGCCGCCGCCCCTCCCTCGCTCCGTCGTCGTCCGTGGCACGGTCCAAGGTGGCTCGAAGACTCAAAGCGTTCGAGCTCGAACAGTCCAAGTCTGCGAGAAAGGCGCAAATTGACAAAGAAAAGTCGCTCAGATCGCTATCCAGGTCCCTCACTGTTTGGCTCAATTTCTTGTTTCAAAACCCTAGGTCTTGCGGTTGTGATTTTTCGAAATTCACTGAAGACCGGTTTAAAGAGTTGGGGAGTAGTGTTTCTGCAAATGGGAAGAGGGACAGCTGGTCTGGCGGTGGGGTTGGGGTTGATTGGGTCTGGCGGAGTCCGAAGCGTAGGAGGGATTTATGGTGGCGGAGTGTGGAGGATGAGGATGCATCGGCCTTTCCCAATTCGATGTTTTCTGCTTTGCAGTACTCATTGCGGGAAGTTTGTAGTTTTGATGATTTGAAGCAGCGAATGAGTGTTTATTTGAGCTTGGGTACTTGCAAGGAAATATTCAAAGTGATGACTCAAGTAACAAAGGTAAATTTGGTGTTTTCATTCTCATGATAGTTTTGGTCTTTTTATTATAATCAGTAATCAGTAACGTAGTCCACGTTTTTAACAACTCTATATTATAGTTGATATTATATAGTTTTTAGCATATCATTCAAATTTATGCTGCCTTATGCTTGAAAGAATGCAACTATTTTATCATCATTTCATGCTTCTTGAGATCCTCAAATCTGTGTAGAACTTGTTTTTTTTCATACTTTATACCCTTTAGACAAATAATTTATTTTTTAGAATTTGGATTTTGGGGTTGAATTTTTATTTCTCAGTGTTAGAATACTGTTACTGATCTTTAAACATCATATCTAAGAGTGTCAGTATTCTTATTTCATTTTTCGTTGAAATTGTTGATAGTGTATAGTTGCAAGTAATGCTCGAAAACATGCTTTTGTAGGAACTAAGTCATGCTTCTTGAGAGTTCCAATTTGTGTGGGATGGAAAATAATTTATCTTTCTAGTATATTTTCATGCAGAATACATGAAATTTTAATGTGGATTTGAATTAATTCCTTGTCAGTCCCAGTTTCATTCTAACGATTTTGAAAATTCTCACGTTTGTATCTTTCTGAATTTTGTTGAAATTGTTGTTCTTTTATTCTCAGAATATCGATGAAGGGCGAGTAAAAATGAAGGCACATTGTCCCATAGTAACTGATGTTGGAATGAAGGAGATGGCCATGAGAATCCTGATGTGTTATAACCCTGTTTGGCTAAGGATAGGATTACACATTATTTTAGGTGGTGACTCCTTGTTGCCTGATGGAGATGTCAATTCCGAACAAGAAATTGCATTCTTGAGAGTGGTTATTGAGAAACAGTTTTTCTCGCACTCTGCTCTAGCTAAAGCTTATGCTTACAACAAGTTGGTAGAGGGATTATATAGACCGGGTTACTTTGAGGAACTAGGGAATATTATATTGAAGAGATTTTTGTTGCTTGTTCTTATACTTGATAGAGCTAAATCTCAGAACAGTCTTCCTATTAAGTATGGTATTGATGGACTAGATGGTGGTTCTCCCCTACTGTTCACTTTGCAATCTAATTTTAAATCAACCCGTCAAGTGGTTCAGGGTAATTAGTAAAAACATTATTCTTTCTAACATTCTTGCAATGGTTTGTTTAGAATTTTATTAGTTGTGGTTTAACTTATCTCTCTTGTGGATTTAAAATAGAATTCTTATCATCGGATGTGATGCATGGCGAGGGTAATCTTCTTGCACATCTAGTGATTGTAGGGTACAAAGTATCTTACCAACAGGTTAGCAGCTCCAATCTATGTTTTTTTTTCTTTGCATGAGTGAATGCTTGTGTGTTTCAGGGTGGAGTCCTCAGTGGTGTGTCTTATTTCTGTTTTTGAATATTTGGGTTTAAACTTCAGGCTCGTATGCATTATTTTAGCTCATATAAGCCAACTCAATGAATATATCCGAGAAACTATTGTTTCCATAAACAGCTCATTTAAAAAAAATACAGTTTCCATAATCGGTTAATTTGCAACAAGTTGTTGTGGTGCAGAATCCTCTCATTGAGTATGACTTCAGGGTGACAGATTTATTTGAAGATCTCAGAGATGGGGTGCGGCTCTGTAGAGCCATCCAGCTCTTGCAAAATGATTCCTCTATCCTCATGGTTGGTTTTCTTTTAGATGAAATTATAAGGGGTCAGATTCCTTTAAGCTGATTTTTAATTGTTACTGTTGATCTTGATGATTTATATTATGGGCAGAAAATGATAGTTCCATCGGATACTCGTAAGAAGAATTTGGTTAATTGTGGGATTGCTCTGCAACATCTAAAGCTGGCTGATGTGCCACTGTATGATGAAGATGGATTGGTAATTGTAGGAGAAGATGTTGTCAATGGAGATAAGGAACTTACGCTTTCCTTGCTCTGGAAAATGTTTGTTCACTTGCAGGTGCTTTGATTTTTTTCTTCCTCTCAATATTAAAGAATCTTCAATATCTCAACCAATAAGTAGTGCTTGTTGGTATGACCTGAATTTATTATTGGCTTTTTTTGAATTGGCATCTTATATAATACAGTAGGGTTTTTCCCCTGAAGATTTTGCAACTTTATTCCATCATTTCTTCCTGCATCTAGGTTGCTAGTTGCAGGATTCAGGCACATTAATTTAGGAATGATCGCGGCTGTATTTGTTAACAATCAACTAACCTCTCATCTGTCCTGCAGTTGCCACTTCTAATAAACAAAACACTTCTAGTGGAGGAAATTTCCAAAATCCGTGGAGTTCCTGTGGTATGCTTTAGTTTGGATTGTTGATATTAATTCTTTGTTAGTAGACAAAAGAAATATATTCATCTAGGAGGTACTTGGTGGAAGTTACTTTTAGCCTTTGAAGACCAACTTAGCCTTTTAATCTAAAGAAAGGTGGCTACAACAATATTTGCACTGTTATATTTTTTTATTTTTTACACATATTTTCCACACTGCTCTATCTAAGGCTATATCCTCAGGCATTCCGAATATATAAGAATTTTTGCCACCAAGCTGTCCGCTTGAGTGTTATATAATGTTACCAGAGGGTTTCAAGTCCCAATTGAGACGCATGTGTTCTACTTTATTTAGAAGGGATTTTATATTTGGGCTCTAATTATTCTCTGCCTTTTAACAGGAATGTTCACACACCACCACTCTTTTGGACATGCTTTTGAATTGGATCCAGGTATTACTACTATCCAATAAATTGTAGTCGGATATAATTGGTCAATATGTTAAGTTCTATTTGTGACTCTATTTATTTAACATTTGTTTGATCCCTATCTAAATTTATAGCTTATTCCTCCCTTTCTTTCTTTCTTCCTTTCCTTTTTATTTTGGAAACTTGAAGATTGAGACATGTTTTCCTTGACAAAACTGATTCATTAAAGAGTGTGTCTGTGTTCATGCGGCAAGAAAAATATTGCCTCCTCTCCTTCCTTTTAAACAATAAAAGGAAGAGGGATATATTTTACAAAGAGGGATGTGTGGGATAACTCAATGGAAAGTCTGTACATCAATGGCTAACATTGATGCAGGCTGTGCCCGTTTTTCATAATATTTTTTCTTTTTCTGTTTTCCTTTTTATGTGTGTGTTTGAGTGAGAGTTGGTCAGTCAAGGGACACATTTTACTTCCCTGTGCTGGGTTTTCTAAGTTGCTCTCTGTTTCTATCTGGTAGCATTACTTTGTAGCACGTTATTTTACTTGGTTTCAGTGCTTTGTCCTCTCTCTCTCAATAATAGTCTGAAGTCCTCTATAGCATCATTTGTTTGGCATTAGACCTCCTTCACTTGGGCTTGTTGCAAGATTACTCCTATATCCTGCACTCCTGTCTTTTTCCTACCCAACCCAACCAGCTAATGCTGGTTGCATTTCTAAGATTATTTAAACCTGTCTGTCTTCAGGGACTTTAGATACTTCATTTAAGTATATCCTCCTTGTTGTGTTTTCAGGCAATTTGTGGAAGTTATGATTTCAAAGTTGACAATTTTGCTTCATTGGTTGATGGAAAAGCCATGTGGTGCTTGCTTGATTATTACTTTCGCAAGGAACTTTCTTGCTCTTGCTCTTTTAAGGTACTTTTATATTCTTTGTCATCCTTATTTTTGAATTCTATATATTTTCTGTTTTATGTTCTTCTCATTTTATTATGAGCTCACAGGATCTTGATGAACGCAACGGAACAGCGTCAATTATGTCAGCTTCTGATTACACAGATGCGGTGCACAACTTTATATTATCACAGAAATTGACGACGCTATTGGGAAATTTTCCGGAGGTATCAAATACTTGAATCACTCTGTATTCTATGATGGAACATACCATGGTGATTTCAAAGAAAATTTAATCTAGAAACAAAGAAGTAATGTTGCCACAATATTAATTTAATTTGCATATGATTTTTTATTTTTATTTTTATTTTTGAACTCACACACCCAATTTCTATATGATTGACATGAATGCTAAAACCATATTCATGTGCAGCAAACTCTCTCAACTGTAAATCTGTAAGTAGCATTGAACACATTTAAAGCCAAAATTAAAGGCATTCTAAACAAACTAAGCCAAAAGGAGGAATAAAGTGTGTTGTTTGTGTGCATTTATATTTGGATGCATACATGTGTATTAAAAATTGTGGATGTCTAAGCCATAGAAACAACACTGAAAACCATATATGCATCGAGTTATGATATTAACGTAGACACAAGCCTATGCACAAAACTGCTATGAAATGTAATAAGTGGAAAGCTCTGAAAACAATTACGTATTTTGAATAACGTGCTAGAAGCTGATATCTGATATCGCATTTTACATGTTGGTTACTTAATAGGATGAATGAATTGCTTTCAGGCCAATGAGACTCCTGGTTATACAAGTTTGGCAGCCATACAAATAATAGTTACTCTTTCATATTTTGGTTTATATTTTTTATTGCGTATCTATTTTGATTACATAACTATCTTAATCATTTTAATTGGTTACTTGGGAGACAAATGAGATGGCTGCCTATATTTGTTTCCTGCTTCATATATGTTTTTAAGGGTTTTAATTAATTTTAATATTCCAAAAGAAAAATAACATTTGCTGAATTCTTATTCATTGTCCGTACGTTTGTAGGGTCATCTGCAAGCTAATCATGTATTGTCATTTTTCAGTTTATTTCTGTTCTTAATAGCTTGAACTTTTACCCTTTGTAAAAGGTTTAATTGTTTATAGCAATGAAAAATTACCGTTCATTTCAATTTTGGATTCCATAATTAAGCATATGCTCTTTCCATATGAGACTTCCTACTTTTATTGTTTAGGTTCTATTTTTTTTTTCCCTATAGAAGTAAGCATAGTTATGAGATATATAACTTTAATTGATTAAATAACTTATGCCTTCCCTTCCCCGCTCTACTCTCTTAAACCTCAAGGAGTTTGGGAAGTAATCCAGTGTGATACCCCTCGATTCTAGAGCCACGGGTGATCAAGTCCGAGCACAGATCCGAGGGATACCAAACAATTAAGTATATAAACAAGCATTTGAATACAAAAAAGAATAATAAAGAAATAAATAAATAATAAGCTGAAGGAAACTAAATAATAAATCCTTATTTTAAAATCCTCAAATAAATAATAATTAAAAATCCAATAATAAAATCTTCCAATCCTCGGATACTAGTAATTAATTAAACTACAACTCGGAAATCCATATTGTGGACCCATAATAATATCCTAACTGAAATAACTGAACTGAAATAAAACTAATAATTAAACCATGAAGAAGAGTCCTACGTAGAGTCGGAAGAGTGAATGACTGTCTCTCCTCGGCACGAACAATCTCTAAGACTGGAACTGACGAACACCTGAAAAATAATGGTAGGTCAGGCCCACATACAAGTTCTAATCTACCACATCCCAAACAAAGACCCGATACACGTACACATCCTAATTAATTCAATAATAACTAAATAGTCCATAAGTAGATATATACACACTAAAGGAATCTCACTAGACTATAGAGTTGTCTCAACCTGAATAGTAGGCAACATGCAAAATGCACATATAGTGGGCATGAGTACCTAGACCTACCAGGGTACACAACTACACTATATCTAGCTACACATCCCTGGCAATATACGCACCTTAACCACTGATCCTGTCATCCTGAGACTCAAGCTCATATCATGGCGTATAATTATATATGTAAAATCCTTCCTATCCAACCATCAAAATAACCTATCCAAATATTATGTTAATAATATGTCATCCAACTATTCCGTTGACCTGACAGAAAAATAAGTAGGACTTAACTTCATTAGTTAATCCATTCTCTTATATGCCCCCATCCCATAATGGTGCATTAATCCACAATATAACCACATAAACGTTTTCATATCCATATAAAGATGCAAACCACATCTACATCTAAATATCCACACAACTATGATATAAATCATATGTACATCATTTACATTTAATTGAGTAAAAATAACAATTCTAAATATCATGCATTTAATTTACCTCATAAGAAATTAGCATGCTTCTCAATTAATTGCACTCTTCTAGAATCTGATTAAATTCATTTAAACCCCAAATAATTGATTTAAATAATTTAACTCAATTCTATTTAATTATTTTAATCTTTTAAATTACATTTCATACTTAGCATGAGTACTTTAAATCATGCAACCCAATTCTTAATGAATCTATTTAAATTAAATAAATATTTAATACAAATCCATCAATAAAATATAAAAAAAAAAACAAATATTAATTTAATTTAATTTAATCATTACTATCAATCATTACTTACTTTATGGAAATCATTATATCAATCATTACTTACTTTATAGCAATCATTATATTAATCATTACTTATTTTATAGCAATCATTATATTAATCATTTCTCAATCATTCCCTCACTTTATAACCAAAACCACAATCTGATTACAGACTTCACAATGGAAACAAAAATTCACGCCAAAGACTATTGCGCCTCGTTCGGCGTGCTCCTCTAAGAAAAACAATTCTGTCACAGTGAAGGAAAAAAAAACTAATTCACGCCACAAACAAATTTCGTCTCGTTCGGCGTGCTTCTTTCAGGAAAGACTAAACTACTCTGATTTCATAAAATTGATTTATTAAATATAAAAATTCATTACAAAAACATTACTAAAACACATGACTTAAAATTCTCAAATCAATTCATGTAATTAGATCCAATTAATTTATTTTTTTTTTAAAAAAACCTAGAATTAATCTAGCGTGCATAGGGTATGAATCAAAGGAGAAGAGAAGAATTAAAACTTGCCTTTAGGGATTTGATAAAAAAAACCCTAACCTCCTTCCTTTTTCTCTTACTTCGTCTTCCTTCTTTCTCTCTCTAAAATATAGTACGTGTTATATTTTCTAACCTCTTTTTTCTAACCTACAGCTATATATTTATAGGCTAAATAAAATAACCTAATCCTTTTCCCAATCCAAGTCAACTTAACAGAGAATATTATAAATATTAAAATATTAAAAAGGTAACTGAAATATATGTTACATATAATCTATATATATTCCTTTTTATATATAATATATAAATATACACCAGATTATTACTAAAGGATTTTCCTTATATATATATATATTTATTTATTTATTAAATATACATATACAACTTTTCATGGGTAATTATCCATACCCATTAAACCCCTTATCCAAGTAGTCCATGGAGCCCAATTGGTTGGTCCATTACTACTATCTATATCCAATTCCTTAAAAATATAAAAATAAAAATAAAAAAAATAAAACAATTAAATTCCTAAACAAATACACATCATCACACACAATTTAATTTAAACCAATAAATCTAAAACACGTTTCAGCGCACAATTTAATTTAAAACGAATAATTCAATTAACACCTAAATAATTAAATCAATTAAACAACTAAACAATTAGCCAAGAAATCAAATAAATAATTAAAATGCAATTAAAATAATTTTTTTTAAAAATACCGAGACTATCCTTTTAAAATCAGGGGTATTACATCCAGGCATGGTAATCTTTAGTTTTGATGGAGATAGTACTTTTTTCTGCAGATAAGTTTTCGATGGTTTCTCGTTGTAAGGCAGTGCACGTAGATATTTTATTTAATGCAGTATGGTCATGTGTCACAGTATTGATGCACTACATTGCCTCCTGCAGGTTCTGCAAGTGGGTGACATTCTTGAACATAATGGTGCATGTAATGAAAGGAGTGTGATTATTTTGTTGGTCTTCCTATCATTTCAATTAATTGTCAAAAGAAATACGGTAATGCTTAAACTATATTATCGAATAATGCCTGAATTATGTTAGTGCCATAGTGGAGAAATTTTAAATATTTTATCTTTTTAATAGGACAAGCTGAATTTTCATAAACTCTTGGGTTTTACCTGCCAAAGCCCAGAGAGGAGACGCCTAAGTATGGAACAGTTTTTTCTTCATTCAGAAGCAGTGTTAAATCGAGAAGAAACACATAGGACCAGCATTGAAGGTTAAAGAAGAATTGGAAGAGTGATACTTACAGTATTTTGTGTGTTCTATGAAAAATTCCATGTCATATTTATTCAATGATGGAAGATAATTTATCTACTTTCTAACCTGTAAATTTATTTTCAATATACTCATATAAGTATACAGTATCATGGCCTATGGAGACTATAGTATATGCTAGGCTTTGTAGCTGATGCAAAAATAATAATAACAGTAATAATTTGTGAGTGATGAATGGCTATACTTTTTAGAACAGAGAACACTGATCCAACTTTCTTACACATTTTCTGTTCCATGCCTTTGTATCTACTGGTCTAATACTTCTCTTTTCCCTTTCACTTCTCATGCACAGATGCTGCGAGAAATTTTAGGGTTGTCATGGCATGGTGGCAAGACATGGCCCAGCGAAACGGCAAACATGAATTCAAACCAGCTACTCCTACTTTGCACTGCTTCTCAATTAGCAGACAAAGCACTATCATTCAAAGAGGGAACTATTATGATCTTTCACTAGGTATATTCGAAGGGTATTCATGTTGATATATTCTTTTCCTATTATGATCCTTTTCTTGGTATTTTCAAAGGGTAACATTCAATCGCTTGTAAAGGTGACTTCATTTCATGTTTTCATAGCATTTTGTATTCTCTATTGTAACGTCTGAAATTGTTGTATTCATCTGGTTTTAATTATTATTTGAATAGACATAAGGATTCATTCTAATGGACCAATTAGAAATTTAAATATCTTAACCCTTCTTACTCAATTTCTGTCCTTCGAACCGATGTTCAATAAATTGTGTAATAGTATCTTTTGTCTCTTCCCCCCCCCCCCCCCCCTCCCTCACCCCGCCGAAAATAATAGTATACCTAACAACTTTTGATTTGCTTGTTCTACTGCTGAAGTTTGTTTTCACTTCCATTCTGACTGACAGAGTTATCCTTGTGTGATGACTCCAGAGAATGCTGCAAAAATTATGCAGTCTCATTTTAGACGAATAATTGAACGTCGCAGCTATTTGCGGATAAAGAATGCAGTTTCCTTCTTGCAATCTGTTATTCGGGCTTGGTTGACAGCGAAGAAGAAATCAGCCATTAATGGATTCAGCACCAGCAAAGTTCAAGTCTCATCATTTGGTATTTGTTATTCTTGTAATTCATTTACATGTTTTTCTGACAGTTAATCAGTCTCACTTGTTTTTTTGGTCTAATATCATACAGAGAGGTTGAAGCAGTCTGAAAATTTTGGCAGACTTATGACCTTCATGGTAGACAGGCATGATTTTGTGAAGTTGAGACAGTCTGTGGTAATCATTCAGCGTGCCACAAGGGCTTGGATTTCTCGAAGGCACCACCATGGAAGTATGTTAACTTGTAATATATTCACTCCTGATCTCATCAATGCTGTTATTGTTGTTCAGAAATGCATTCGTGGATGGAGGACAAGGTCTATATACAGTCACAGTGTTGCTCAAGTAGAGAAAGCTTCACTTGCATGCAAAGAAGCTGAAGTGAATTATCTGCAAATAAAAGCAGCATCCAAAATTCAGCTTGCTTGGAAAAAATTTGTTGTTTGCAAGTCCCTCCGTTATCAGCACTTAGCTGCAACTAAGATCCAGTGTCACTGTCGAGGTTGGCTGTTGAGGAAGAGTTTTGTGAAGCAAAAGCAAGCAATCATAAAAATTCAAAGTGTTCTGAGATGTCTAAGATGTTGGAGGGATTTTCATCAATACAAAATTGCAGCTAAGTCAGTTATTGTTATTCAATCTCATGTACGTGGATGGATTGCTCAGAGTGGAGCTTATAGACGTAGACGTCTCATCGTTGTCATTCAAGTAAGTTTTCCTTTAATATCTTTAATATTTCTATTGGTGTGTACACTTCCATCATTTTGGTGTGATTTTGGACCATCCCAAGTATGTTACCGTCCATTTTTTTCTCTTTTTCTTTTTCCCCTTTTGGGTCTTCTTGTTCTTTCTTTATGCCAGTTTTCTGTTTCCTACGTATTTATTTTGTTACAACAAATTGTATACGAGAAAGATCATGTCAATTAATGACCTCATTTTTTTTTTAGCTTACGCTTTGTTATGATTTTTTGGTTATAATAACTATAAATATTCATCTAATTTGCAATTAATGGTGTAGAAAAAAAGTTAATAATAAGTTCAAAGTAAAAGAGGGTACTTTTAGATTGATTTTATTGCCATATCTGAGCCCTGCATACATGAAATTTTATCATTAATCTCAGTCCGCCATTGTAACATCTAGTTTCAGTAAATTTAATATTGTCAATTTATCACCAAAAGTTGATGCTAAGTTGCAACTGAAATGACTGACTAGAAATGGTCATGTGTTGTTTGCTTGTGCTGGTCTATTGTGTCTCTCACATGTCCAATTAACTAATGTTTTCATACGAATTACTAAGCAAATATACTGTATTCACAATTGGATTTTACTTTTAATTCTTGGAAAGAACATTACTCATTCTAAATGATACATGGAACATTTACAAAGTGGAAGTTTGCTTTAATGAATCCAGTGTCATTGCCGTGGCTGGCTAGCAAGGAGGGAGCTTTTATTCCAAAAGGAGGCTGTAATAAGGATCCAAAGTGCTTTTCGATGCACAAAATACCGGGAACTGTTCCATAGTTACAGAACTGCTGCTATTGAAATCCAACGGTTTGTCAGGGGGCATATGTTTCGAAGAAGTCTTTTAGGTATCTTTATTCTGCACTGTCTATTATTTGATTATCGATCTCTTATTTGCTTCCTTTTCTATGCATATCTGATGTGTTATTAATGCAGGGTTTTCTTGCCTTCACAAAACTGTTCCTATAGGTTGCAGCTTCAATCCTGCAAGTGGTTGTTTCCATAGTATTGAATTGAAGATGTTTTTACAATCAGTCTTGAAATTGCAAAGGTGGTGGAGGGGTGTTTTATTGTTTAAATCAAGATTAAACTCAGCAATAATTATTCAGTCTCATATTCGAGAATGGATAGCAAGACGAAGTGCTACTAGAGCGAGGCGTCGTATTATTGCAATCCAAGTAAGATATATGTAATTTTTGCTATCCGAATCCTTCTTTAGATGCTCTTTTGTAGTGTTGTTAAATGAGATGATCATATGGTTATTCTTTCCATTATTGTAATTTTACGAAGTTATATGTTTGAAACAATATGTTATCAACCTAACCCCCTGTTTATCTCTTTAGTTTCCTGGTTGTTATTTATTTGAATCAATATGTTATCAACCTAATTTGCAACTGAAATGACTAACTAGAAATGGTCATGCATTGTTTGCTTGTGCTGGTCTAGTCTGTCCCTCACATGTCCAATTAACTAATGTTTTGATACAAATTACTAAACAAATCTACTGTATTCGCAATTGGATTTAATAAAACCTTTTAATTCATGGAAAAAATATTACTAATTCTAAATGATACATGAAACATTTATAAAGTGGTAGTTTGCTGTAATGAATCCAGAGTCATTGCCGTGGCTGGCTAGCAAGGAGGGAACTTTTGTTCCAAAAGGAAGCTGTAATAAGGATCCAAAGTGCTTTTCGATGCACAAAACACCAGAAACTGTTCCATAGTTACAGACATGCTGCTATAGAAATCCAACGGTTTGTCAGGGGCCATATGTTTCGAAGAAGTCTTTTAGGTATGTTTATTCTGCACTGTCTATTATTTGATTAGCGATCTCTTATTTGCTTCCTTTTCTATGCATATATGACGTGTTATTAATGCAGGGTCGTCTTGCCTTCACAAAACTGTGCTTATAGGTTGCACCTTCATTCCTGCAAGTGGCTGTATCCAAAGTCTTGAATTGACGATGTTTTTACAATCAGTATTGAAATTACAAAGGTGGTGGAGGAGTGTTATACTGCTTAAATCAAGAATAAATTCAGTAATAATTATTCAGTCTCATATTCGAGGATGGATCGCCAGACGAAGTGCTACTAGAGCTAGGAATCGTATCATTGTGATCCAAGTAAGATATATGTAATTTTTGTTATCCGAATCCTTCTTGAGATGCTCTTTGTAGTGTTACTGAATGAGATGATCATATGGTTAGAATATTCTTTCCATTACCGTAATTTTAAGAAGTTAAATGTTTGAATCAATATGTTACCAACCTGACCCACTGTTCATCTCTTTAGTTTCCTGGTTGTTATATATGATTGAGATGAATTTAGATCACTTAAATCAACAAAGCTTTGTCCCAAATCTTGCCTGCTCCTTTTACAATTCTTCTTGTCCTTTTTTGGTCTATTTGGGATGCTAAAGTGTGCCTCTAAAGTCTCCTTTGCCTATTTACTTGAATTTTGGCTGATATTATGTCCTTAAAACCTCTGCATATGTTCTCTGCAGCCTTTTTATATAATTTTTTTTCACATTGGATTGTTTAACCTAAGTTGGGTGAAATTCCATTATGTGGATGAAGTAGATTTTTGAACAGTTCATTTTAATAGCTTATATTATTAGTTTCCTATTGTTCATTAATTCTTGTCAAACTCGATTGATCCATACACATCAAAAGCTTATATTATTAGTTTGAAATGACACATATCAAAAGCTTATTTTATTAGTTTGAAATGACAGACATCATTTAAAGAATGGTTATGATAAATAGATGATTTATAATTGAGAAGCATTGAGATAAGGCATAGAGATTTTAGAACTTAGTTGTACAAGTATTCTCATAGATTTTATGCCTGTTTATGAGATGATCTGTGTTCCTTGGGGTTCATTTGGGCAGGAAAACTTTATGAATCTTTCTTGGTTAAAGCTATATTAACATATTACATACATTGTCTTTTCCACGTGAATTCATGTATAAATATGATCATTTTTTGTTCCATTTTTTTTAGGGAAATGATATTCACACTCCACTTTTCTGAACTTGCTCTTTTAAAAAAGGAAATGGCAAATTTGCCTCTAAAAAAAATCAATTATTAAAAAAGTGCTCACGCAATCCACGTTTGAGGTGTAAATTTGTCAAGTTATTAATTAGAATTTTAAATGGTGTGCAAGCAGAGAAAAGTGGAGAATGCATATCGTCTTTCTTGTTTTTATGCTTTTTTCTCTTATAAAAAATTATCAATGTTGTTTTACATATAATATATATATATCGTGGAGTAATATTGGCATCCTTTTTTACTTTTATTATTTTCTGGTGTGGCCTTCTCTGTATAAAAGTCATACTGGAAAGGTTTCCTTGCACGGAAGGATTTAAGAGGACAGCTACTGGATTTACGTTTGAGAGTGCAAAAGACTGCTGCAAACGTGGATGATGGCATGCGAATAATAAACCGACTTGTTGCTGCACTTTCAGAACTATTGAGTATGAAAAGTGTCAGTGGCATTCTTCATATTTGTGCAACCTTGGGTAAGTATTTTGTATTGCTTTTCAAGTAACTTAGCTACTTAGGGTTGTAAATGTTTCATTAGAATGCTATCATTTACACACCAGAAGACATACTTCAGTGCTTTATATATATATATATTTGCCATCTTTTGTATTTTATGGTTCATCCGTTATATCTACCTTTTTAATTATTTTGATATTAATACTAGCAATTTCAAATTTACCTTGTATTTTTGGAATGATGAGGTGATAGTGCATTATGGTTTCCAAGACAAATACATGGATATCAATATATCATATACTCATATGGACATTTCTATGAAGTCCCTGGTTATGAAATATATGTTTCTAAATTATTTGCAAGTTCAATCGGCTCTATTCTTTTATTGTTGGAAAGAGCTATGGGTATTGTTTCAATCCCCTTCTCTAATAGTCTTTATATTGTTTCCTTTTGAATTTTTCTTCTGAATGCTACGTTGTTAAGCTTTTGCATGGTCTGGTTCCTTAGAACACCTGGGTGCCTTAAATCTTTTTAAAATCTGAACAGCTGGGTATAAAACTTGTTTATTAAAGCTCAGGTTTTCCATAGTTTTCTCCCATGTTCATGTAAGCCTTTTTTTATACTCAACAATGACAAATAATTTGTAAGGTAACATGGCTACATTTATCTAGGATTAATGGAATAACATTACATATTGGTGAGATTTTTGCATGACATTTATTGTGGGGAATCCCTCCTGAAAACCTAACCCAGGGCCCTTTTTAGCATTCATTGCCTTTAGTAGAGAGGCACCTGTGTCTGATTATGTTAGTTTTTCCATCGGTGGAGTTGTACGGAGCTTTACTTTTTTGGAGTATTGCACAATTCTGAGTTGGATTTGATATGTGCTTTCTTGAGGCATATTATGAACCTTCTGTTTGTAAAGAAAGAGAGGATGTTTTCTGATGCAAACAACAACTAGGGTCAGCTTGGTTTGAGATCTTTCTGTAGGTGGTGGGCAGGCCTGGGTTCCTTTGGAATGCATTTGGCAAGTTGCTCTCCGTAAGTTACAATACCTAACATCTAACCTTTAATCTTGAATTTAGTGTTTGAGACATTTCATTCAATCAATTAACTTCAAGTAGTGAAGGGTGCATTGTTTGATCAGAAATAAATTAAATTATTTTTATATGTGTTTATTATTAATTTTTTGAAAGTATATGTTTATGTTTATGTGCATTTGTGGTCACAAAATTATAAAAGTAGTGAAGTGTAAAAACTAGTTAGTTTCTATTTGTAACATCATTAAAAAATTCAATGTAAAATTCATTACCCATACTAAATCAATTCATCTTTATAAATTCAACGAAATTCATTTAAAATCATTTTTTAAAATAATTTATAGGATTTTTGGGCTAAATTGTGTATGTCAATTCATCTAGGGGAGTTGTGCCTGCAAAAAGTCCATGGCAATTGTTATGAGAGGCTTAAGGTGCTAAGGAAGCATGATTGCTTGGAGCCTAACAGAAGCCATGCACTTGAGCAAATTAATGTGCATTTGTTTGAAAGGCATATTGAATATACTTACAATGAAGAAATTCTTAACATGTATAACAACCTAGTCAAAATCAAAATGAGAGAATTTTTCAACATGTCAATCAGAGGGTCATCTTAATCACTGTACAATTGCATCATTTCAAGTTTCATATTTATTCAATTACATCAATGTCTAATTGAAACAACTAAAATTATGCAACACAAAAACAGTGAAATACCACTATAAATGTGCAATAGGAAGAGGTTACAATCATATAGGTGGGGGAGTTTCCTTTTTTTGTATGAGGGGCTGGGCGGTGGGGGAGTTTCCTTACAATTGTACTGTGATTTTAGATTAGGGATGTTTAACTGAGAGTAGTCTTCTAATCAAATGTTAGGAAATGAAAAAGAAAATGCTGATTGATTGGATGGGAATTGTTCTTCTTTGGATCACTTATGTGGGTGATATTCCCCTCTTTTATTTATTTATTTATAATTGTTGATCATCCCTTCCACACTTTAATATTTAACTGCTAGGATTCCCATTGCAGTCACCAATCTACAAGGTTTGCAAAAGTAGAAGATTTTCAATATTCCTAGAGATCTTGATCTCTCTTAAATATTCATAGAATCTTTAGTTTGAATTATAAAAGATGTCAATCAATTTAATACTTTGCAAACCTATATTAGCAAAATACAACTATCTGTGAAACTGTATGATCGTTCCTGGTTAAGTTAATCTTTCCCGTCAAAGGTTGAATGTCTAGAACGTTAAGCAAGGGTGCAAGTCGTCACAACTGCTAGGCTTATGTTGGCTTGCCATGTTCAATATTTTACAAGTATTGGAATTTTTTTTGGAAACTGTCCACATCTGGTTTCGTGTAAGGTGTAAATGTGTTCAAACTAGATTTTGCCAAAAGCAGCAAAGCAAAGAACAAAGACCAATACATTATATTAGGCAAGCAAAATGTTGTCATATTTAGAAACTGATTAGCAGTTTCTGCTAATCAGTTTCTAAATATGACAACATTTTGCTTGCCTAATATAATGTATTGGTCTTTGTTCTTTGCTTTGCTGCTTTTGGCAAACATATACTTCGAATGAGCTGCTTTTGTTTTTTTAAAAGACTTGAACACAACTATTATCAACTGCATGTGTATTTAACACTAATTATATATTATTATGTAATTGGAGATAACTGTTAAGATCGTGACCTACACAAAAATTTTATTTGATCCAGCTAGTTGAAATCAGCGTCAAACTTTTTTTACAGATATGGCTACAGAACATTCACAGATATGTTGCGAGGAACTTGTGGCTGTGGGCGCTGTTGACACTCTGCTGAAGTTGATCCGCTCGGTTAGCCGAAGCATACCTGATCAGGAAGTTCTAAAACATGCACTCTCTACTCTCAGAAACCTTGCCCGCTATCCACATTTGACTGAAGTACTGATTGATCGCCGTGGATCTTTGGAAACAATTTTTTGGGAGTTCCTAAGGTTCGTTAACAAAGTCATTTTACAATGTAATATTGGTCTCTTTCAATTCATTTGTCTTCTTATACTTTTTGTTTCAGAAACAAGGAGGGCTATTTTATTGCCTCTGAGCTTTTGAAGAAGATATGCTCGAATCAGAAAGGTGTTGAAGCTGTACGCAACTTACCTGCTCTCTTAAAGAGGTTGCACAACCTTGTTGAGGATCTCACTAGGAAGGCAGGCATTAAGAGGTTCGATTTTGCACGAACAACTCTAGTCCTTTATTTTACTTGAGTTGGGAGTAAAACTAATGATCCAGTGTCAATGCGTCTCCATGTTTTGTCTATATTTGTTTTCAGGAATGCCCGTGCCGTGGTTGCAAGAGAGCACACTGAGAGAAGATTAAGAGAAGCCACTGAGCTCTTGAAATTGATTACAACTGGTTAAACAAAGTTCAACTATATAATTGGCTTGCAATGTGTATCTTTGTTTTTTTTTGTTTTTGTGTGAAAGTTGAATACCATTTTTTCCATTTGAAATCAGTTCTGTATATGTTTTTGTAGTACCATGGAAATTACATCGTATTGTAATGTGAAAATGTGTTGTTTTCTCAGTTTGTTTCGCAACCCAAGTGATCTTCTAACTATGCTTTGTGGTTACGAGAAAATGAAGTATCGCCTAGCAATTTGAAATATGTATATTGTGGACCACGACATTTTCTAGGAATGTGAACAGAATTGGCAGAAGGGTGGTAATGGTTGCAAAATGTGCCATAACTCTGGCTCGAATGAACAGGTCGAATTAGAAACTTTGTTTTAAAAGAACCTTTCCAGACCTCATAGCTGTGAAATAATCTATGATTGGTTTGAACTACTGGTCTAAAATGACAGAGAGCAAGAAGCTCGTGCCTAAAAGAAATTGTATGATAGAAATTGAATAAAAGATAGACATTTAGATAGCAAATTGTGCAAAAATGTATGATGTTGGGAATTTAATTTTGTTATAGACTATAGTTAGTCATTTGGGGTTATGAGGGGTCAAATCATTCACCCTTTTGAAACAGAATTAGAATTCTATCCTGTGCACAGTGGATTGGATTCACTAAAATAACATAAAACTGATATTATCATATTTTACATTCATTTTTTACTTTATTGAAATTGTGAGGGAGTAGAAAATTAGAAACAAAAATTTAATACAGTCACCCACCAGAACGGAACAATAATGTAGTAAGCCAAAAATGCATAATTGACCAAAAAAAATTATAATTAAGCTGACATTTAGATTGTATGTTTGTTGATGAAGTTAGGGTTTTAGGTTTAATGTAGAAATTCCAGTTAATTGAAGCTTTAAGAACAATGGGAGACCAACATCACCAACTCGAAGCAAAATAAGTTAAGACCAACCCGAAGCAAATAAGTTAAGACCAATGCGATGCAATCTTGAGCTTCATCTCGGACATATCAAGTTGGATGTTGGATTGGATTGAAACTTGAATTGAGGATTTATCACATGGTTCAATTTTGAAAGGTGTCAAAACCAACTCAATTATAATAATTTCTCAAAAACTGAATCATGTGAGAATGGTTTTTTTTTTTTCATTGACAAGAAATTCGCCTTCCATCTTTACCTCGCATTTTATTTCATAAATATATTTCATAGGCGTCGGGAGATTAATTGTTGAGATAAGTTCTAAGAAATTAAATATATATATATATATATATATTTGGAATTAAGATTCAGATCTCGACTTTTGACTTATGTAAATTGTTAATTAATAAAATTCAATGATTTATTAGTATTTGTAAAATTGAATAAATCTATTAAGTCGCTTAATCGAACCAAATCAAATCGAATTGGTTCGGATCGGGTCAACGATTGAATCGGATATTGGGTGTGCCCGTACAATACACCCCACACCCCTCTCGATCTTAAGCCTATCCCGTTCCTCCTCATTATCTCTCTCTAGGGTTGCAATTTTCCACATCCCAAGCCCCTTCTCAAAGTTTATTTTTCGAAGATGATGCAACCTGCAAACCAGGCAACGATGGAGGCTCAACAAAACCACCAATACCAACAACAGCAGCAACAACAACAACATCAACAATGGATGATGATGAATCAACAGCTTCAGCAGCAGCAGCAGCAACAACATCACCAACAAGCACCACCGCAACCAATGCAGCCTCAGCCACAACCGCCGATGTATTACCACCAGCAACCACCGCAGCAGCATCAGCATCAGCTTCAGCAACCGCAAGCGCAGTACACGGCCGCCGCGCAGCCTGCTAGCGCCGACGAGATCCGCACCCTCTGGATCGGCGATCTCCAGTACTGGATGGATGAGCAGTATCTCCTCAGCTGTTTTGCTCATACTGGCGAGGTAATTATCTCTATCTCCGATAGATATGCGTGTGTATGTGCAATATTCGTATATAAAATTGCTTTTTTTCACTCTGTATGATATGTTGGAAGCCTGACGAATTTGAGTAGAGAGCTGTGGGATATATATATTTGTGTTATATTCGTATATTATGATATATATACGTATATGTAATTGCTTTGCGAGAAACATTAAATGAAACAAAAGCTTTCTTAATTGATTGTTGATTGGTGCAGTGGAGGTGTCAATTTGGGTGGATTGTTGTTGTAATTGGTGTTCTTGGCATGATGTTTGTTCTTGTATGTGCATTTATATATGTATGTCTATATTCATGTATGTTGGTTATGCTGGTTTTCATGTATATTGATTATGCTGCTCTTCTGTTCTTGTATTTAATACATGTTTCTTCAAATTTATTATAAAAATTGGATATTTTATGTAATTTTTACAAAGGGACTAACTATTTTTATCTGAAATAGAGATTATGTAATTTGAAGCCTGCTTGACTCGCAGGGGGTAACATTTTAGAAGGTTGGCCTTTATGCTTGCATGAATGATACAGTGCCTGTATGGCATGGGGGTAGAGGCTAAGGGTTTTGAATTCAGGTTGAGAGCATAGGACTGTGAAAGGCACGGAGGGCAGTATCATAGGGCTAGGCTTTCGTATCAGTATGCAAAATATGATTTGCAAAAATAGGGGAAAAAAAGAAGGTGGTTTTGAGTTCAAAGCAGCTTGCATTTTTATATTCTTGAAAATTAAGAAGTTAGAATAAGGTATAATACTAAGTTGCAGTTTGCAGATGCTTTCAGTAATCATCTTTGAATAGAGAGATGAATTTGATACATATACCGAGTCAATGTTTTGCGTCCACTGCAACGGTTAAAATTTTGTTTTGGAATGTCATTTTGGTTGGATTGGGAACATAAATGTTTCAGAAACATATCGAGAATGCAATGAGAGGGTGAAAAAATTTGGAATTCACATGGCTACTTTTGTAAACATAGAATAAAATAAATAAACGAGTTAGGATGAGACTAATGACTGATGAATTGAATATATTTTTGGACTGCAGACAGTTGGACACTGTTGGAACTGAGGAAAAACATAATTGTGGATGTGTTATCAAATAGTGCCAGTCAATACTAATTTTTTTTTACTAGTAGAAACAACTATACAAGATTATGAGGCTAATTTTCTCATGTAATATTGAAGTTTTGATACAATCATGGTTATCAATATCTCGATTCGGATCATATGAAAAAATTGCATAGAGATAGGATCGTAGTAGGATCACCATATCATAGGATCTTACCATAGGATCATAAGATTGTGTCATAGGATTGTTCAACAGTTCAAGTATACCAAAATCTGGTAATTGGTTTCTTTTTTATATTACTTAAAAAATATTTGTAAAATGTTGGTTGTTATAGCATATATAGTTGATATAAGTTGTGACTGTGATACAAAAATTTCTTGGTTTGTTTCATTAAATAGTAATTTTTGTATAATAGACCAGACAATTCATTATTCATTAGGAAAATGAGAATAGAAGATCTAAACCTTGTTTTTCCCATATAAAACCTTGTAATTTGTCAATTTTGTGTCGTTAGAGTTCCATCCTCTGAACTACCTAATCAAATTCATTGTGTATGAATGCATGTTCTACTTGTTTTTAATATTATTTATTTATATATTTCTCTAGTGTTTTCAACTTTTATCTATCTATTCTAAGAATTCTTTATTTATATATTGTTTAGTGTTTTTTGCACTCGTTTTGTAGGATTGAAAGACCTTTCAATCCTACAATCCTATTCTGTGGACCCCCTATCCTGATTCTAACAGCCTTGGACACAATAGACATCAACTATACCATACATGAAATAGACATTTTGACACAAAGTCAACACATTGACAGCGGACACATATTAAATGTAGCATAACAACTGAACAAAAAATCAGCAAGCTAAGCAATACTATTTAGCAACTATGTACAACGATAAGTTATTCACCTATCCCTTCTTTTCTTCTACTCCTACTCCTTTGCTTCTATTTTTTAGAGACATTGGAGACATCATCTTACATTTTTGGTACTCAATCCTTTACTATGCTCCTTTTTGATAAAGAAAATGGTTTTTCCTTTTGTTACTCTCTGGGATTGTTATCTTTTTAAGAAAGGAAAAAAAAAAATTAACCATATCGATATGTTTCGACCATTTTCTGTTTGTTTTGGCGAAACTTCATCTCCATTAAACATGTTTTGTATGTTTTGTTTTGGTTCACAAGGAGAAATAGAAGAAATTTAAATCATTGACTAAAAATTTCTTGAACATCCTTTGCATTGCCCTGTGGCTCATGATTGTTGGAGCCTTATTTTTGGTTTGATTGGTGTTCATTGGGTTATGCCTCGGTCTTCAAGGGTTTGATTGAAGTCTGGAGAGGCTATTATGTGGGGGCCCACACCGTGATTTATGGAGGAAGACACCCTTTGTGTTTGGTGGTGCATTTGGAACGAACAGAACAACAGATCTTTTGAAGGGGAGGAATCTTCCATTGGGGCACTGAAATTTACTATTGTTAGTTCTCTTTTCAGTTGGGTGATGGGGAGAAATTGTATATCTTTAGATGAAATTGTGGATTTTTTGGGTTCATTGGGTCCCTGGGACCCTCTCTTTGGCTTCAGCCCTTGTATAGCTTTCAGGATGCGTTCCCCCTTTTGAACGCATTCTAATATACCTTTATTTATCAAAAAAAAAACTTGAACAACTTAAAGGAAGCTGTTAAAGGACCAGAGTCACCGCTATTTAGTTTGTGAACATCTTGCATATTTATTATGTAGGTTACAAAAGAGGTTTGCATGTATGTATTTGTATATTCCCATATGGATAAAGCAGTTGGTGTTTGTATATGTGTATTTCCATTATTATTTTTTGCGTGTCATTTTTTTTTTACCATCTACTGAGTTTTTTTATTCTTGCAGGTGGCCTCTGCAAAAATAATCCGTAACAAGCAAACTGCTCAATCAGAAGGCTATGGCTTTATTGATTTTGTAAGTCGTGCTGCTGCGGAAAGAAATTTACAGTCATATAGTGGTACCCTGATGCCAAATTCTGAACAGAATTTCAGACTGAACTGGGCATCTTTTGGTGTGGGCGAAAAGCGCCCAGATGATACCCCCGACTTCTCAATTTTTGTTGGGGATTTGGCAGCTGATGTCACAGATTACATGCTACAAGAGACATTCAGGGCTCACTTTCCTTCAGTTAAGGGTGCAAAAGTTGTAACTGATAAGACCACTGGACGGATGAAGGGTTATGGTTTTGTTATGTTTGGAGATGAAAACGAACAATTACGAGCTATGAGTGAGATGAATGGAAGGTTCTGTTCAACCAGGCCAATGCGTATTGGGCCGGCTGCTAACAAGAAGAGCGTGGGTAGTCAGCAATACCCCAAAGGTATATTTATAGATGGCTAAGTATTTCTACCAGCCTTTAACGATTGCTGTCGGTACATTTCCTGTACTTTATATTAGATGACATTATTACTTGCATGCAATTTATTCACAGTGGTGTTCATTTTGCATCATGTTGTTTGGTTCATGAATTTGCTAGTTTGGATGTTAAGATGAATTTATATCTTTTGCCATGCAGTCTGCTAAATACTAAGCAATGTTGTTATTCTTCTCCTCCTCCTCCTCCTCCTCCTCCTCCTCCTTCTTCTTCTTCTTCTTCTTATTCGTCTTCTTTTTTTTCCCCAGTTATACTTTATTCTTGAAAATGAGCTCCAGCTTACGAAATCATTTCCTTCCAATACATGGAAACATTGGGCCTAATGCTGTTTAAATATAATTTTAAAATAAAAATGCTGTTTAAATATTAAAATTGCAAAATCTTGTGAACTCCTGTTGTTTCTGAGCAGGGTGTCAAGAGGCTCTATCATTTCGGGGTCTGGAACTGATTTCAACTTAAATGATTAGCCCTTTAGTGCATAGCCTCATTTAGGTCAGTTTTCCTTTTTGTTTAATTAACTTGCCCTTCTTTTTGTTCCTTGTGGCATTAATCATGCTACTTTTTTCAATTTTTTCCGGTTCCTATCACTAACTGATGTCGGTCAAGTCTTCAGAAATAATTCAAGTTTCTTTTTGTTTTTTTTTCTTGTTTATCAGCCACAAGAATCACTTCTTAATTTCTTAATCACCCCCCTCCTCGTTGGGAAAAAGGCTTTGCTAATTGCTGACCATCATTATATGCTGTATTTCTATTATTTTTTTGTCGAGAAATTTGTTTAATTTATCTGTTACATGACAGTTGCCAAGTTGCTGACAGTTAATATATCTTTTTGTAAATTTATTTTTTGCTGGACCTATATGTGGATTGTAATGTAGAAATTGGTAGTGTCTTTATGAATTAATCCCGTGTTTGATAGTAACTATATGTGCATGTTGCTTTCATGTCATTCTTTCACTCACACAGGCACACACAAAACACACTCTCGTTCTCTCACATACTCACACGTGTATGTGTGGTATACATGTTCAGGTACGTGCATGTTGGGGCACACACTTGTGTGTTTGCAGTCGTTAAATTTACCCAGCTAAACTTGTTTGGGATTGTTGCTAGATTGAATCTGTAACTTGATAATTTTTGTGGATGAAAAATCCTTCTGTCATTATCTTGACAAAGTGATTATAGATTGCTTAGTTTGGTAATTAGCACAACTTCTGTCATCTTATTCTGTGCGTGGATTCATATGGTACTCCTTTAGCTTGAACTGGAAGCATCATTTATTGGATATTTCTCCCCCTTTTTCTTTACCTACATTTCTCTATTTGCAGCTATGTATCAAGGGACTCAGAATGAGGATGATCCAAATAATACAACTGTTAGTATTTTTTTTCCAATTGTAAATGTCGAAGTTGTGCTTTTTTAATCCAAATATACTTGTGACATCAAGTTTCATTGCAGATATTTGTTGGTGGCTTGGATTCAAGTGTTACGGATGACAGTCTGAAGCAAGTTTTTAGCCAATATGGGCAGTTAATTCATGTGAAAATACCAGTAGGCAAGCGATGTGGGTTTGTTCAATTTGCTGACAGGTATGATAAACTGCTAAAGATTTTTCTCAAGTGGAAATACTATCACATCTAATATTTGTGGCCATTTCGTTCTGTTCATGATTGATCGCAGAAGTTGTGCTGAGGAAGCGTTACGGATGTTAAATGGAACTCAGTTGGGTGGACAAAACATCAGGCTTTCGTGGGGACGTAGTCCTTTAAGCAAACAGGTTCTTTAGATTATTTATTATCCTGGAACTCATGTTCTTTTACATTTTCAGTTTACGTTTTCCAATTCCCCATTAAGCTGAAATATAAGCAGGATCAATCTGCTGGAGTTGTTCAGCCCCAGGTGGATCCAAACCAGTGGAATGGTGGAGTTTATGGATATGCACCTGGTTATGAAACCTATGGATATGCCTCAGCTGCCCAAGATCCAAACTTGTACTATGGAGTGTACCCTGGATATGGTAATTACCCACCACCCATGCAACAGCAGCAGCAGCTTCAGGTAGGATAAAAGAAAAAATTCTTTTTTTATTTATTTTCTTTTGTAATATTCCATTTTATGAGCGTAGTAAAGTTATGTTTATGGTTTCTGGGAGTTTATCATGGGTCATGTTCAACCTGGTGTAGTTAAATGATTAAGTATTGAAGTGTCCCTTAAAGTGCTTAACTTGGTGAGGCTTACTGCTTTCTTGTACATCATGTATATATATTCTATATAGTGTATATTTCCCAATCCCACTCTCAACCTGTCTTAAAGAACAAAATTGCCTTATGCTTATGCAGAGTTGGTTTCTCTCATCTCAACTAAGTCTTTTCCAACTCCTTGGGTTGTCTACATCAATCGTTTTTTTTTCCATTCCGCTCTGAGACTATGGTCTCAGTCAAACATGTTATCGTATCTTTCCTTACTAACTCTACCCTTGTTTCTTTCCCTTATTCTAGCATTACCCTAAATGTGGACCACATACTATTGGTAACTGGTTTTTTTATTTTTTTATTATTAATTTTCAAGATTGCTTTTTGAGTGTTACAAAATTGATTTACATGTGTCACTTTGTCTCTTCCCCACCTTTTTTTTTTTTGGTTGCGTGTGGGTGGGTGGGATTTTTTTGTGTGTTTGGGTTGGGGGGGGGGGGGGGGGTGTAAATTTACATGTCTTAGGGATAAAAAAGAATAAGTAAAAAGGAAATAAGTTTTTTGGTTTTTGTTAGGTTGAGTGGCATAGAAGTGAAGTAATTAACCAGGGGGAATGCCCAGGCTGGGGTGCCTTCTAGGTTATTAGCCATTTGCTTGTCCACACTGACTATGCTCACGTAGCTGGGCAAGGTATTCAAAGTGCGCTGTTGGAGGATGGGAAAATCTAGGTTGTTCAACTCTCTTAATTGGAGTTTGACATAGGCTTGGTATCACGCTTGTTGTAGTTTCATCATTATCATTCTTACCTTTATCCCATATGGATGGGTTGGCTGCATGAATATTCTTTTTCAATTAGGGTAAATTACTCTGACCTCTCCTGAGGTTTGTCTTTATTACTCTTAGATTAAACTTGTTAAAAATGTTTGGTCAACCTCCCCTTAAGTTTGTTTGACATAACTATCACCTCCCCTCCTGATAGTTGACTGCTAGTCAAGTTAAATAGATAAAGTGTAATGCCAAAACTACCCATTTTTGTAATACTCAATCAAATTTCTATTTTAAAGTATATGGACCAAAATACCCTCACCATGGTCATCCTTGTATACCTATTTTTTCTTACAGTCCCAAACAAATCCCATATTCCATCACTAGTTTCTTTCAAGGAAAGCACACCCAGATTAAGTTTTAATGGACTTGATTGGGTTTATGGAAAAAAGGTGAGACCAAGCTTGGCATCTGGTATTGGGTTATGGGTAGAGGTTGTAGGGAGCTACGCTTCCTAAATATTATTTCAGCACTGATTTCTTTTCTGGCCAGTGTTCTTTACATCTATAAGACTATATCTATATATGTAATTATATATACAAACTTTCTGACCAGTGCTCTCTATATCTACATCTATATATCTATATATATACACACACACAAACTGAGGGAGAGGTGTGTTAGAAGTGAATGCAAGCTTCTTATTTTGGATGGAGTCGTTAGAGATGGATTATTGGCTGTTTGAATTTAAAACTTTTTGTGGGTAATGGAATTTAGCTACCAGTCATCTTTAGTAAAATATTGTCAATTATATATTTGTGTAGATGTAGATTAGGAGATGGATTTTGGCTTTCAGACATTGCAGTTAGTCTAATGTTGAGGGCCATGGCCTAATGGTTTAGGAATGAGTCAACACTTATCACAAACTGAGCTATTAGATATGAGATCCAAATGTTTTAGAGAGAGAGAAAGTCTAGAGTTATTAGACATGAGATTCAAAAGTTTTAGAGAGTTTAAGTTGGGAGGATGATTTATAGAAACGAGAAGAATGGTATAGTATAGAAAATAAGGAGTTTATGTTAGGGTATATTTGTGTTTTTCTTTCTTTCACATTTACTGCTATTAAAGTAATTTCGGGGCAAATAGGTCAATTAGATACTTATTTTAACATTGTTTGCCTGACAAACCCTGACCAGGGGTGTTAGTTATTTTTGCAAAACTTTCATCTGAGAGTAATAAGCCCAAACCTCAGGGGATGTCAGGGTAAATTGTAATTTACCCTTTCACTTATTAGCCATGTCTAACATTTTGAATTATTTAAGATCATGCGAGTTCTGGTCAGTCCATTGGTCTTTTACCTTCTATGCAAACAAAATTTCCCCACTAATGGAAGCATATATAAGTCGACTTTGTATTTGACCATAACCACCTAAGCGTTCTCCCCCCACCCCCCGCTGATGGGCGCTACTCTTAGTTTCTACCTAACCTGTTGATTATTAGTCTTATCTTTTCTAGTTGCTTCTATCATTCATCTTAGCATTCTCATTTCAACTATATAAATGCGTTGTTCTTATTCCCTTTCTAACGCCCAACATTCTTCTCCGAATAATATAGCTAGCCCAATATCTGTCTTGCAAAAATATTCTTTTAATTTGTTTGATATTTATTTGGCATATAAGAAACTTGTCTCCATTTTCTCCAGCCTACTCCAATCTAACTGTTTACATTGCTATCTATGTCTCCATTTTTTTGTATTGCTGACCCTTAACATAATGGTTATTTCAAGAGATCCTTGGGTCTTGAATTGTTATAGTTAGTAGTCATCTTTTGCTACTTTATTAAACTTGAATTCCATGCATCTAGTTTTAGTTTTACATACTTTAAGTTTTTTGCTTCTAAAGCACTTCTCCATGTTTCTAATTTTTTGGCTAATGCCTTCTAAGAATTATCCAATATAACTATATCATCAGCAGACAACATGCGCCAAGCAATGTCTTCTTAGATGTCCTTCGTTATTTCATCCAAAACTATTATAGATGGATATGCACTTAACATTGATCCTTGGTGTAATTATACTTTTATTGAAAAATAACTAGTCTCTCTGAACGTAGTACGGACTTTAGTTTGTCCTTGTCTCACTATACATACTTTGAATAAGATTTCGAATTTTTTTAGGCACTTGTTTTCTTTGTAAATCTCACCAAATTATTATCGTATGCCTTCTCTAGGTCTATGAAAACCATGTGAAGGTTATTTGTATTTATTTCTACATTCTTCTATTAAATTTCTTATTAAGTATATAGCCTCTATAGTGGATCTGTCTTCTAATTTACATATTAAAGTTTCTTTTCTTAAAATTGGTTCGATTATCTTTTACTATGGTTTCTTTATATGGCTCTTTAATTCAATTCCTTTATAATTTTTACAATTTTGTATTATCCCTTCTATTTTTATAAGTTGGTACTATACTGCTATTCCTCCATTTATATGACATTCCTTCTTCATTATGGGTGTATTTGACTGCATGGAATTGGAGCCTTGGAATTGGAATTTGTGGAATTGGAGGAAAGCAACTCACAAAAATGAACCAAATTTTTTTCCAACTCCACAAATTCCAATTCCCATGCAGCCGAACACACCCTATATGTTTTTTCCATTCAATTCGCATCTTTCCTATAGTTCTCCGCGCCTACTACATCTTTATTATTACCCATCTTTTTTAAGTATGCCCTTTACTTCCTTGTTATTAATTTCATTTATCATTCCTGCTTAGGGCTCGTTACTTAATAGTTTCTTCTTTAGTACATTACTCATTTAGTAATTGTTGAAATTAATTTTTTTATTTTTCTAATGTCATCTCTTTAACTAATATTGTTTGATCTATATCCTTAATTAAACCTGTCAATTGATCGGATTTTGATCCAAATCCCCGACCTGATAACTCAGATATGGATTGAATATTTAATTCGTTAATCCGTTAGCAATCCGAATATGATAATCCATTATTAATCCGAATCTGATAATCCATTATTAATCCGAATCTGATAATCCGTTAGATTAATAAATCGGATATGGATTATGGTTATTTTGACTTGTTAATAATCGAACCCGACTAAATATAATATAAAATATGCTATACATATATTATTTATCGTTCAATTGGTATGCAGTTGATGAAAAAATTAATCAAAAACATTGTTTACTTTGTTATCTCGTGTACAGTATTGGAACACTCAATTATATTAGTTCGTCATCTTTTACTCCTGATTTTTTTTACACTTTTTGTGTTTGTTTTCTTTAATTAAGAATCAAATATCTAATTTCTTCTCCCTTTTTGTTCATATTTTGGGCCTTTTTCTCTCTCTCTCTCTCTGTTTATATATATATAAATATTTTTTTGATAATTATGTTTATATAATTTATTTTGGAAATTTTAACAAAAAATAAATTTCTTAACGGATCAGATTATTAGATTGGATATCCGATAACTGACAAAATCGGATATGGATTCAATAGCAAATAATCCGTCAGGTTATCGGATCGGATCGAGTCGGATATATATATATTTTAATCAGATTTGGATCTGCTCAGTCCATATCCAATCCGATTTGGATCCATTAACAGGTTTGTCCTTAATACACCTAACTCGATCCATATCTCTAATCAAACTTTCTCTATATTTTGCGAACTTGTAAATAGTTGTTTCACCCTCGTTCATACTCAAATTTTCATATAAATCATTTTATGAATTTTGTTTAGCTTTAGCTACCATCTTTTTAGCTTCAGTTTAAAAATTTTTGTATTTCTCTAAATCCTCTTGTTTCTTACATTTTTTGCATTCTTTGAAACTCGAGTTTTATTTTTATTCCTTGTTGTATTTCATCCATCCGCACCATTTTCTTTATAATAAATTGCTTTCCTTAATGCTTTGTTTGGTAGAAGGGATGGGAAAATAAAGGGAAGAGTTAAGAGAAAGGATGGAAGGGACATCTGAGAGGGTTCCCATCCATCCTTTAGTTTGGTTGAGTGGAAGGGTATGAAAGGAGGTTACCTATTTTTCTGTTTGGTAAGAATGATGGAAAGAGATTGCTTTGAACATAAAAAATACCAATTCGTCATTGTATGGCATTTCAACAAAGTAATTTGGTAGATAATTGAAGAGTAAAAATATTATTTCATATTTTTGTAACAGTTGCTCCTCCCTCTTCTATTTGCCCATTTTTTGAGGGATGAAAAAAGATGATGAGCCTAGAGGGATGCCCTCATCCCTACTTTCTTCCCCTCTCTTCCCTTCCTCCCAACCAACCAATGCAAGCATCCTTGTTCCTTTCTTTCATCCTTGCTACTTCCTTCCTTACAACCAAACAAAGCATTAGTTTCTCCCAAAGTTCCTTTGCCACGTTTCTAATACAGTCTGCTGTTTTTAGCATAAATTTATATTGTCATTCCAATTCCATCACTTTTCTTGTAATAATTTTTTCTCTAAATGGTATCCCTATATTACTTTTATTGTATATTTTAATTTATTACTTTTAAATTTTTTTGATTCAATAATAATTAAACCGTGCTACAACGGCTTTGATTACTGTATTCATTTTTTTAGTCTTTATAGCACATTTAGTATCATAAATCAATGCATGGAGAATTGCAATTTTATCTCTGTACCTGTGGTTTCACTTGAAATATTTCACCTAATTTATGATGAAGGGTTGATTAAAAGTTTTATTTTGATTTAAATTGGATTCTATTATTACGCAATTTTGCTGGATATATGATGATTTAACAAAATGATGGTGTTGTGCAGTGATTTACTGGTCTGTTGCATTGCAATTGAGGGTTGATGGTGATTGACATCTTTTAAACATGAAGGTGCATCCTTATCGATAGGAATGCACTCCTGAAGTTTGTCTTGCAATGTATTATATATCTAGCTATTATTGGTTCTTTAGGGCCTCCCGGGGCTAGTGTTTCTACAATACTGCCTGAGATCTGTTGGTAGAATCACAATTTTTGGCTTGCATGCGTGCTCATTTTCTGTTTTTCCTTTTTCCTACTCTTGTTTTATTGAGACATTTATGGGGCCGAGGTACTAATTTATGTATCCGTGTACCTCCGGCCGGTCTATCCAGGATTAACCCCACTAATATTTAATCTTTTTCTTCGCTTGATTCTTGTATGTTTTTTAATGCAAGTAAAATGCCCAAATCTAAATTGCTAAAATGATGGCTTGGTCCACTGTCATGCCTGAGTTCTTTCTAGTTTGAATTGGAGGGTTCTGATGGTGTAATTCATTATGGCAACTGTTAGTGTTTTGATTTGAAATTTAGTTGGGTAAACTGTTTGTGGATGGCTGTTTTTCATTACCATCTGTTGCAGCTATCAGTGAGTCTGATGAGAACCGTCGGTGAATGAGCCCTACACAACAAACCAGAATATACGAAAATTGTTGGCTTAAAAGTCTTGCAAGCATTTCAAGAATTAGAAGAGGGATGGAAGTGGTAGAGAGAGTGTTGGATCTACCTTTGTCCTTTTCCCTATTAAGCTTGGGTCTAGATTTGCCCCTTGTGACTGATAAGTACCATTTCAGACTTTTCACTCCTCTAGGGAGGACTGGAAATCTTAGTTAGTTATAGGACAGTTATAATATTTTCTAATAGGAGCATGGTTGAACCCAAATGCAAATTAACCATTTATACATCAAGCTCGTCCGTCTTCTCTCGTCTCTCTATGCCAATTCTCGAACTCTTGATAACACAAGCCAACCCGAGCTTGACTGGCTTGTTTTATCATTGTTAGTACCCATTTTGCCTGCAATAATGTGTATGGATGTTTTAGTGTTATATGCAAAGGATTCAAATTCTGAATGACGCATGCTTTAAGTATATCTACAAAATTACTTTTTAAGCAACCTATGTTCTTGCGGTGAATCATTTGTTTTCATGGAAAGAAATGGTGGGAGAGCCTGTGGATGCTAAACCTGATGCCCACATGGCACCAAGAGATCCTTGTTGAGGTTACTTACTACGCAACCGTGGAAGGATAAAACTAATTGTGAAACCAACTTTTGCTACACGATGCCTTTAATTCATACAATCACATTGAATTGCAACTTGCAACACCATAACAACCAATTTTTGCGACACAATGCCTTAAATTCATACGATCACACTGAGTTGCAACTTGCAACACCATAGTCAATTTAATTACTGATGTAAGTTTAAAGAGTCGTTAGATTCTATTTATTGAAATCGTAACAAAGACTTGACATGCCTACGTACCCAAGTTGTATATCTAATTGACATACAAGGTAGTATATGTGCGAGATAAACAGATTAGAGGCAGCAGGCCTACATGACATATTCCAGTGTGTAACGAGGATGAATTGTGGCCGCCGCGCGATGAGTTTGGTAACACATTCTTAGGTGGCGCGGTACGGCAGCCTAATTTTATTAAAACATATTTTCTATATCACTCTCTTAATTAAACCATTTAATTACCTAATTAATTTCTCATATAGGTTTATCCAACTTGAGTTATACGTACAAATATATAATATTTTTTTATTTTTAAGAAAGAGATAAGAAAAAAAGAACTATTATTAATCCTAGTGTAGTTCAGCTCAGCACCATTGTTCCCGGTACGCTCAAGAAAACTCGCAAAGTGCAATACTACATTTGACTGGTGAGAGTCCTAGTTTTACTTCTGTCAAAAACGGTTCAACCTTTAACAAAGAGAGGAGTGAAATATTTCAGCTTGGCACCATTGTTCCCTGTTAATTGCATTATAAAACGAGCAGAGTGCAATACTACATTTGACTGGTGAGCGTCTTGGTGATAATGTTGGTTGATGCTCAAATTGTCGTGACTTCTGTCAAAAAACAGTTCTTTTCCACCAAAAATTGTGAAGCAACACCAAACCAAGAACACGCAAGGATTGGGAAACTATCGTTAAAACTAAATGTGGTCATCAAATTGATACTAAATGTGGTCATCAAATTGATACTAAATTGCATATGATAAATTCTTTGGTACTGTCTAAATCCATCCCTTTGTTTCCAAGTGAAAATGTAAACAATTCCTCAAACAACATTAATTGTAACAATAATCAGTGAAGCCGTTTGGTACTAAACACCCGGTTTCTCAATAAATCGCAGGACGACAGCTTGCAGAACTATGATCAATTGATGAGTAAAATTTTCACTAAAGGATGGCCGACTGGCGAAACTGAGTAGCAAATGAGCATTGGAAACCAGCAAAAGTTGTTCGGTGTTCAAGGCTTTTGACCAAATTTAGCAGCTTTATGAGATATAGTATATATGATACCAATCTTGCCTTTTTCTTATTTGACATTCAGAAATCTGGATGTGAAAACTTTTTTTTTTTTTTCCCTTCATATTGATAGGCTTATAAAATAGACGGAAAAAACTTCAGGAAGATTCCACCGTCCTTTGTCCTGAGGTACTGTCTACAATTAAACAGGGAATAAAAAGATACCAATTAGTGCCGTGTATCCTAGTATTCAATCTGGTTTCTTTAAGTTCAAGCTGTTATCTGCAGCTTGGCTAAACAACTCCTGGACCTGCTTTAACTCCTTCTCTGATACCACCAATAACATAGAAATGGTTAGTTCCAGCAAATGGCAATCACAACTTAAAACTAAAAGAGAATTTTTTTTAAAAAAAAAATTAAAAAAAAAAAAAAAGGGAAAGAAAAGACAGTAGTATCATCTCCGTGGATCATCCATAGTAGTTGATTAACTTTCGGTTTAGACTGTTTTTGAGTTCATGGACTGCTTCTAATTTTCAAAGGTGAGTACTGCTTGTTAAAGCATGCAGATCCCAAAATGACCAAGTTAAGGCAGCCAAATTTATGTATGGTTAACTCCAAGGTCCACAAACATGGCCTATATGATATATCATCCAACAAGTGGATGCAGCAAGTGTTCATAATGCATTTTATCCATTTATAGGATGTGAAGAACTAGCACTGGTCCGTGTTTGGTGACATTCTAAAAGTATGATTCTCTTTATTTCCTTTTATTTTTATTCTTTTTACTCCTAAAAGAAACACAGCCCATATGTTAAATTATTTTTGTTTACAACAAAAAACAGGAAATTAATCTCTAAATGTTAACCTCACCTGCAGCTTCCAGCTGCTTCTGAAGTTCTTGGCCTACGGCATCATTTTCACCCTACAATAAGTTCAGAAGTAAGAAGATTAGGGCACAATAGGCAACTACGATGATTTTGGATAGAAGACAGTGAATCAGTCATCTCATACCTGAAGCACTTCCCAAAAACTTAGAAAAGAAAAGGAACTCATACCTGAAGTTCTGCAATCCTTTTCAGTTGGGCTTCTTCGCCTCCCTCAGACAATGGAAGTGCAGCAACCAATGCATCAAACTGTAAAGGAACACAAATCGAGGTATGTAAAATGATCTTCTCAACCACAGGATAAGTATATAGTCCAGATGTTATTACATTATGCAGTGGATGGACAGGAAACCATAAGTCGGTGCAGAAGCCAACCTATAGACTATGGATAACTTGCTGTTAATTGTTTATTTTTTATTTTATTTTATTTTTCTGATGTTTTGCTGATAGAAAATAAAATAATTTATTAAAGTAAGAGAACTGTACAAAAATGAGGAAGAGAATTTCTCCAATGAAATAAAATGAAAATTGACAAACAAAAAAAACATCCTATATAAAAGCACAAACAAGAAGAAGATCAATTGAATAAGGTAGCCTAGGGTCCTAAAAAATATCCTCAATTATAGTGGCACTTTTTGCAGGATAGCTGGTCTCTGGGCAGCCAGGTAAGAACTTAAAGACAAGTACCTAGCCACAGAATTGAAGAGGTTGACCATCCCTTCACTGGCTGGAGGATTAAAATAAGTCCAGCGACCAGGGGTCACGGATAGCTGTCCGCTCTAAGGTTGGACAGTAAGGTTCAGAGAAGGGCAATCACTCATTCTTAAAACCAGCGTTCTTAAGACCAAAGAGTCAGAGGGCAAAAGAAGGGAAAGCTTTCCGTTCGTGGTTCTCCTGTAGTTGGAGCACCTGGAACCACAAGAATCCTTGCTTAGAATGGGATTCCAACTCAGTGCCATTTATTTGAGATTTAGAGAAGAGTTGCTCTTTAGAGAGCACAGTACAATGAAAGTTGTAAGCTGTGTTTGGAGGAAGTTATTGTCTGATCCAATTAGTCACTAACTTTCTTTTACTTCCACAAATCTGATTTTAAAAATCGATATGCTAGGCACAAGCCTTTGTCGTATGCTAAGCAACAGTAAATAAGCAGATAAACAAATGATTTGTTGAATTGCTAGAACACATAGCATGCAACTAATAAAAATAAAAGAAAGTACACAGAGTTTATATGCTATTTTCATATCAATCACAAATATCAAGTGGTCATTAAATTCTTCATAGAATATTGTGACATGGAATGTTTATATATATATTAAGATTGACTCTTGCAAAGTATTTTTAACAAAATTAAAGAAATTTAACAAAAGATGTCATGGACAATTATTTTTAATCCTAATGAGTATGCAAAACTTCATATTATGCTACAAATTTTGTTCTATGTTCTATATATTTTGACATCAGCTAACTAGACTATAAAAGTAGGGAGATTCATTGATAGGTCACTATAGTTGTTCAGAAAACTTAAAGATTGGAACTATGAAGTTCATTTCGCCAATTGCTATCCCACCCACAGGAACTTAGAGTTTCCAAACCAGTATTGAACGATCTTGGCACAAAGAAAGCACTTAGACCTTAAACAAACCTTGAGGTAAATTCTTTCAGCAGCCCGTCACATTCTCTAGCCAAAATGGGTCTGACCAAGAAGTAAAAGGGCAATCTGTTTTCCTTGGAAGACTTCCAGGTAAGTTGTGGGTCACCAAGTAGTGCATCAGAAACACATCTATTCAATTTGTAAGGTAGTTTGGGTTTCCAAGGCATCTATATAAATGAATGAATGATATGCAAAATTCTCAAGTGCAAAAAACTTTTCACACCTGCTTCGCAGCCTTGACCAATGCAGCACTCATGAGCTTGGGTTGCTCTACAACATTTGCAGCCTCTTCTGTAGGATTAGCAGGAGGTTCTGGATAATTTGGAGAAAGTCTAACAGGAGGCGCATCCCTTTGTAGTGTCCCAAATGTATTGAATGCAAGTGCAGCAATAGTGTTGGCCTGCTCTTGTAGTTGGGAGATTATGTCCATCTTGCAATCTGAGATGAACAGTTGCTGCTTATACCTATGATGTGAGCTCATAAAATCAATACTAATCAGAAAAGTTTTTGGCAAATACTTTCAACATCCCTATCATGTATCCTAAGCTGTAAAAAAAGCTAGAGGGGCTATACATTTCAAGATTCCCTTCTAAAATTGCACACACACACACACACACACACACATTTTCTGGTAAGTAATCGATCCAAAATTGTTACAGTTTTGAGAAGGAAATTTTCAGTTGTAGTTATTTACAAAAAAATATATATATATATATGTTAAGGGTTGGCAATTCATTTGAGTAAGCCTTGCAAAATGGACTTTTAAAACACAGACACACATACATGTATAACAAAAACAGAAGAAAACCCTAACCGAACTTCTCATCTTCTGCATTCTTCCCAACAAATAAAAAAGAGATCCAAGAAAAAAAAGAGATCAATTTCAGATTGGAAAAACCCAAAAAAGAACCCATTACCAACGGTGATAACTGAATCAACTGATAAATCATAAATCTTTGGATCACTTCTGTGGGTGATGGTCCCCTCTTTTTTTATTTATTTATAATTGTTAATCATCCCTTCCACACTTTAATAATTCTTCATTTATTAAATCTCCATGTTCATTAAGATTTTCTTCATTCCTATGTTCTCCATTCACCAAATCTTCAACTAAACTCTCTATTTGTGTATTTTTCCTAAAAAAAACTTATGAATAACACCTCTTTGAGATTGAATCAATTCTTCTTCTTCTCTCTTCTTCTTTTTTTTTCCCTTTTTTCATGCCCAGATTCAAATTTTCTTGTAGACATAATTGACAAAAAAAGCAGAAACAGAAGTTATAGAAATAAAAAAGTATTTGTTTTGCCGAAATAAAATATAGATTACCTCAATGCAATGCAATGAATTGATTCAGGTTGCTGAAATAAAATATAGATATCACCTCAATGCAAAGCAAAAAAAGGGGTTCATAATTGTTTGACAAAAATCAACAATGTTTGATTCTTCTCATATTTTCCTTAACCTATATAATCAGAAAAAAGAATGGAGGTTTTAGTCTGATTCTCCATTTTGATTCTCTTTAATTTTTTAGTTCTTATTTTTTTTATCACATAAGCAATAATTGACCACAAATATTTAAAAAAAAAAACTTTGTAATTTTCCTTATTGTTAATCAGTACTGTTTTTATGATTTTATCATACTATATATAATATCTATATACTTGGAACACAACCATTTATACTTGGACATATAATTATATAAATAGCAATCCTAGCAAGACTGAGATCTTCATAATCAGAAAAAGAATGGAGGTTTTAGTCTGTACGGAAGATTGAATTCTAAATTATCCAATTTATCCTGCCTTTTTTGTTCTAAGCCTCTAAGGTAAGGGGAAAATCTCCTATTTCAAGCGTCCCATGAATTTTCAACCAGACCAATGAAATTACATTCAAATTGATCAAAAAGGTGATAAAGGATTCCATAAACACACGAAAAAAAAAAAAAACAAAAAAAAAAAAAAACAATTTCAGATTGGAAAATGCCAAAAAGGTACCATAAATTGGATGAGTTACTTACTTGTAATCTTTTCGGCGCTGCTCCTGATGAAACTGAAGCTAATCTCCCAAACACAAACCCAGATCTTATCCTTCGACTTCGAGGAGCGACAGCACAGGAGCCCTAGAACACAGATCGTTTTTTCTTTTTTTCTTTTTTGATTCGAAAAACATAAAAATAAGGCAGCCAAACTAAACAAAATTGGGCCCATTAACCCAAAAATAAGACAGGCAAACTAAACAAAATTGGGCCCATAAACCCAAACGTCTTATTTCTATAAATTGTATAATGATTTCTGTGAATGTATCCTACTTTATATGTATAATTTGGCAAGTGAATGTGTATCACACGTCTCATTTGGTAATTAAGGAAAGCGTATCATTTTTTTTTATTTTTTTTTGAAGGTAAGAAAGCACGTCAATCTGATATTGTTCAAATAAGAATTCATTTTGATTAAAGAAGACATGTAATTAATGTATTGTTTTTTTTTAAAATTATTAAATTATTTTTTAAAATTTAAAATTATGTATAATTATTTGATTTTTTTTTAAACACCTTAAAAAGATGTGAATTTCTTATTCAAACTTACTCGTGTTGATGTAAATATCGCAACATGCATATTTTATTATATATTTTGCGAAATTCATTTTCCAGAAAGAAAAATCCATCTAGATGTTTTTTAAGTCCTTAGATAAAATTTCAAGATTCTCACCCATTTGAAGAAGTAAGTTTCAAGAGCTCACCAGAGGGTAATATATGAAACCAAACGTTGATCAATTTCAGATTCTCAATGCGCATCTCTACATTTCTCAATCCCAACTCCTAAAGCCTAATTTTAAATAAAAGCTGGTGTGTGTGTATATATATATATATATATATATATACATGCAAAATGTGGTAGCTACCAAATACACCAAAGGTTACTCTCTGTCTTACATTTATACAATACCATAAGATGAGTATACTGCGTATGGCACGTTGCTTGGTATCTTGAATAAGTGTCTACTAAAACCATTCCTGCTTGACAGAACAACATTGTTGCAGCTCTGTTTGGGTCTAAAATTTTGCAAATGCTATAAACATGCGTCTGCGTGATTCACGCTAAAGTATTAGGATGGGACCAATGGAACATGGACACAACTACGACATAATACGGACACTGTGATACATCAATAAAATAACAATGTATTATAATGTTGATATAAAATTGATTTTTGTTCATTTTACCAACATTATCACAATTTTAATCACTAATTTAGAACTTAAAGCTAAATAATTGTTTTGTTTTCTAAAACCTTATATTGATTTTTCTCCTAACGCCCATACTATGTTTTACAATTGCATTAGAACACCTTTTTTATAAAATGATAATAATAAGAATAATTGCAACAACAAAAAAAACAAACCTCAATGTGTCACAAAAGTGTTCTCGACATGTCTCCACTGTGTCCCAGCCATGTTCAATCTGGAAAATATATATATATATATATATAAGCTCCAGGGCATCCCCACGTGTCCACGTCCAATGCCCCACAACACCCCTTAGAGGAGTGCCTGTGATCCTTAAAATAAATACAAGTGTGGTTCATGAGTCTTGGAAAACTCTGGGAGTCATTGCCTAGTGCAGTGGTAAAATGCTCGGGCTATCAAACGTGTAAACAGGGGTTCGAATCCGAAGAGTCAAAAATATGCTTTCTGAATATTATATGTATATATATTCTACATCCTTAGTTCAACAGGTTCTTAGATGTGTCTTCTGTTCTAAATTCCTTAATAAGTATGCCTAATTGCTTTTTACAAACTCTTGTTAGCTATCTTGTATCCGGCTATTCACTGTTGACTATTCTTTCGTATTTTTTCCTTTTGTTTTAAAACAAAAGGAAAAAATAAAATAAATTTTGTGTCCACTCGCATCATCAGTTTATTGACCATATAACAAATTTACTGCTAGGATTGTGTCAATATCTGGTTTGCTCAACTATGACACTTTAGTCCCTTATCCAAATGTTATTTATTATAGGTAAACTATAAAATGAATTGTTATTTAAGAAACGCTTCCTCCAACATATGTCCTTTTCTTTTTTCCATTTTTTGTGGTAATGGAGGGCGTCCCCACAATCCCTCCAGATATGACCATTACCAAAAATAAATCACTTTGCATAAGATGTTTTCTAGTTAACGGAGATGAAAACCCAGCAAAGAGCCAAATTCCTCAAATCAAAAGAAACGAAATTGATGAACAAATTAAACGGAACCAAATTTTTAGGAAAAATAAGTAACTGCCACCAATTCCATTAAAATTTCTTTGTTTCTCTCAATTTCTTTCATGATTGATGACATAAACATGACATAGAAGGTATAGAAGAGAAATGTATAAAAGCTTGAATGAGAATAATAATATGTAAAGACTTGAATGGGGCTTAATAATATATAAATCCATGAACAGACTCATAAGCAGCGTATATGCATGTGTAGACAACATGTCGATTAATTAACATTTGTCGAAACACACACAAACGTATGTTTGCATGCTTCTCTGAAAAGTAAATGTGACACATGGCTATTTATGTCCATCTATATAGAGAAGAATGGCCTTAGAGTTGGTAAGGAAGAATATGGTATAAAAAACACTAAAACTCCAGTTTGAAGTCCTCACAATTTTTTTTTTCTCCTAACACTGGGCAGGTCAATGACCCACTGAAGCACCTGTGATGCAGAACATGTGCGCATCTATTGAAGTCAAATCAAATTTTGACTGACACGTAAGCGAACCAAACAGATGCTACATCTTGTCTGGTTATATGAAGGTGTATAGGCCAGGTAGTGGGTAGCAAGAACTGGAGCTGCATTTTCTGGCAGCTGCAGTTCTTGAGCTGCTTCTGCCAGAAAATGCAGCTCCAGTTCCAGGTAGTGGGTAGCAAGAACTGGAGCTGCATTTTCTGGCAGCTGCAGTTCTTGAGCTGCTTCTGCCAGAAAATGCAGCTCCAGTTCTTGCTGCTCGGCACCTTCATATAACCAGACAAGATGCAGCATCTGTTTGGGTCGCTTAAGTGTCAGTCAAAATTTGATTGACTTCCATAGATGCGCACATGTTCTCCATCACAGGTGCTTCAGTGGGTCATTGACCTGCCCAGTGTGCAGAGGAGAGTCTTTGATGGTGATTCCAAGAATTCTGCCGGTGGACTTCCAGGAGGAGCCACCCTCACCAGTACCACCATCGGATCTTGTCTACTGCGCTAAGTGCATTGTAGATTTTGAAGATGGTTCTCTGAGGGTAAGATCACAGTGTCTCCTCCTCCCTTTTTGCAACACCATAAGATGAGTACACTGAATACGGAACCCTGTTATAAGACGAGTATACTGCTTTCGGAGTGCCACCATAAGACGAGTATACTGCTTTTAGAGTGCCACCATAAGACGAGTATGCTGAATACGAAGTGCCACCATAAGATGAGTATACTGAATTCGGAGTGCTGCCATAAGATGGGTATACTACATTTGAAGTGCCACCATAAGATTGGAATACTAAACGCGGAGTGATACTTGAAATCTGCATCTAGTCTCCGCTTCTGCTATCAGGTGAGACTTCTGAGAAACTGCTTCTGTTATCAGGTGAGCTATCAGCTGAGAGTTGCAAGACACTGCTTCTGCTATCAGGTGAGAGTTGAAACAATGCAAACTCCATGCTTAACCTATCAATAAACTAATGGCAGAAGTAAAAATCATTCATACAATCAAAAATGGCACAGGAAAAGAAAAATAATTAAAAGATTGAAGATACGACGCACAACACAAATCCTTACTGAATCATCGAATTTTGCAAACAGATCAGAGAGTGCCGATTGATATAATCCCTCTTCTAGACGACTTCCAGCCCTCAATGATAAACTGAAACTTTTTCCCAGCTGCTCCTGAGAAAATGGATTAAATATGACAATCTCATCTATCCGATTCATCAACTCAAATCTCACATGCTCTCCTTCCTGCCATATTACCACATAAAAGCAATAACAATCTTTTGAAAAGTGCAACTAACCTTAGAATATTGAGTATATATTATACCTTAGAATGTTGAGCATATACAATTAAATTTATTAACAAGAATAGACATACACATGAAAGCATCTAGTAGTTATATGCAGGTACCATTTTTTTCAAGTATACATGGACAACTGGACACATACTTGTAAAGGGACATACAGGCAGATGTACTGATCGTGCTTTAGCACAAACAGATAGATGTACGTCAATTCTAGTGTATCATCACAAATAGATATATATGTGTGTGTGTAGATGTATTTATCGTCACAAATAGATATGTGTGTGTGTGTGTGTGTGTGTGTGTGTGTGTGTGTGTGTGTGTGAGTTTTAGAAAATGAATTTATAGGATCATGTCTAGGTTAGGTAGTAGTACACGCACATTTATGAGTGCATACGTTGGATATAGGTACCAATGCAGCTATATAAGCGCAGATGAACTATATCCATAGGAACATATATGTAAGTAGATCCACATATATACATGCGTATATCATATATAGTATGGTAGTAGGGATGACGATCTTTATACTTTGTGCCTTGTGTACATTGTAGCCAAGAAAGAAAAATAGTATAGTATTACACTATTACCATTGCATCATATATAGTATGGTAGTTGGGTCAAACCAGGATAAATTAAGTAAAGGGGGTCAAACCAAGGAAATGAATTTTTTGCTTAGGAAAAATAATAAAATAATAAAAAAAGGAACTGTATTTTTGAGCATATGGAACATATATGCATACATGGGGTCACATATAGTATATGCATACATGAGATATATACAGACAACCACATGCGCAAATACATATAGAAGTATTCATAGGATCACACATGTACATATAAACCTACATAAACATGTATATATCATATATAGTACTTTACTTAAGTAAAGCATTCTTACACCAGAAGTACCAGAACACAGATTCATCAACTAAAAAGAAAAAAAAAAAAAAACAAAGACTAACTTCATCCAGTAGTCTAATTTTACCTGTCCAACCCCACCACCATCAACAGTATCTTGAGAAGCATGGCCGACAAGGTTGCTCTTCAGAAAATTACAAAATCAAACTCAGATTCAATCAATTCAACCCAAAAGAAAAGAAAAGAAAAGAAATAAT